TAAATAATCCCTATTTATGATACAATGCCAGAAGTCAACCAATTTAACCATCCCATGAATTTGGTGCATGCAATGGAGTATGTCTGCACATTTTGGATATTTTGGGGTCTGAATTCTATCTAAAAAGTAAATCCATATTCTATGAAGTGATTTATAATAGTTCCTATAGTTATCTCACCATGGAAAATACTGTCACCTGAGGTTATTCTGGAATTATTGATTGTCCATGGGTGTGACCACCTCACCCCCACCCTCTAGAGTGTGTGCTGAAATACAGCAAAATCACTATCCTTGGCAGCACAGTGATCAACCAGGCTGTGTGGGAGAACCAGGAAACAAAAGTCAATTTGTTTCCAACAGGCAACAAGGGAAAACAGTAAGGTAATTCAGCTCCAGTCACTCTCTGACATCAGACCACAGTCATTTATACATTGACAGTTTCAACATATCTGAGAAATGGTGTAGAGGAATCTATAACAGACTGGAGAAAATAATAAAAAAGATTGAAACACTATTTTTCTGAGACTGAAAATCTATAATAAAAATAAAATTTAAAATCCTTACATTTGATATTGAACCTTTCAAGTCAGGAAGACATCTCAAAGCACTTCACAGAATATACTGTAAAATATAGCCAATATATACTTTGTAGGTGAGCACAGCAGTCAATTTGCATGCAGAATTGACCACAAACACCCATGAAGTGAATGACCAACTTTATTTCAGGGATTGTTGGACAGGACATTGGAAGAAACTCTTCTTTCTTCGAATGAGATGTTCAATGTCTACCTGAACATGCAGATGGAACCTCAGTTTAAAGTCTCATCCAAAGGATTGCACATCCGACAATACATCACACCATCAGCAATACATTGGAGTGTTAGCCTAAACTACATAAGTTCAAAGTCCCAAGATGGGGCTTGAAACCACAATCTACTGACTCAGAGGCCAGAGTGCACCCAACTGAGCCAGACTCATACATCCTTAGTAAAAAAGTTCATTGATCGGCAAGGCAGAAATATGCAGAGGATGGAGCACATGTAGTAGGCCTGTGTTAACAGAGCGAAGGGACAAGCAGATCAGAGAGGGAGGTACGAGGGCTTGAAGGTATATATACATACATAAATGTTAGGGTTAGGACTTTGAAGTTTATCCTTTTGGAGATACAGAGCCAGTGGAACTTGGCGAGGATTGGGATGTTGGTTGTGCTGAGTTTGGTATGGGTGAGGATGTAAGCAACGAAATTTGGGGTTTGCTGGACCATATAGATGGTGGAACTGGGGAGACCAATGAAGGGTGCATTTGAGAAATCAAGGTAGGAAGTGACAAAAGTGTTTTGAATGTTTTGGCAGCATAAGGTGTGAGGTAAGACCGGAGGTGGGCAGTGTGACAGAGGTGAAGAAAAGCTGTCTTGGTCAGTGATCAAATATGTGGAAGGAAGGAGAGCTGAGGATTAGACTGGATGGCGTGGTTGTGCACTGGTTCAGTGAGTTTGAGAGAGAGGCTGGAGAGTTTGAGGAATCCAGAGCCAGAGGTGAGGAGGCATTGACGGGAGCTGAGGAGGATGGCTTCTATTTTGTTAAGAAAACTTGATGCTCATTGCGGCCTTGATGTCTGCAGTCAAGCAGATGGAACATCATTGTTCACATGTTACACAAATTAAACCACAATACATTTCCCTGGACCTTCTTTGAGGTAATGCATCCCATTAGTTGGTGAAGTCGGTCTATTTAGGGACCACAAAGTTTAAAATTCTTTGGACGAACAAAGTTAACACATTAAAAGTAACTCATTCTTGTTTTGAATATAAACTGGAACCTGTGAATAAACGCTACTTTCATAGTGTCTTCAATGACTGCAGCCCTCTGTGGTCTGAAGAGCTGTGTGAGATATTTTATTTTGTTTTCATTACTCTGCAAGCAGAAAGTAAAAGGAAACTGCCCTGAAATGGCACTTTGTGAGAAATAAATAGGTTTACACACCACCCTTCTGAGTGCAGGAAATAGAAAGCTCTTTTCGACCCAGCACAATGTTGCACTTGTACTCTGCAGATATTCATCTCTGAATGGTGCTTTTAATCGAAGTGAAAAATTTGACAGCCGAAAATTATCTAAAATGGCAAAATCTTGTGAGCCAGTTTGAATATAGCTCAGGCAGATTTTCTACAGAATTAGCCTCTTTAGTTATGTGTTTGAAAATATACAGTGATCTGAATCACAGCATTTGCAAATTCTCAAATTTTGCAGATTTGCTGGCCTTTTGTTTTTGGGACTATTTTCAACTGAGAAGTGGGGGGAAAGGGTTGACTATAGGATTTAGGACAAATGCCAACTGTAGAACAGCCTTTCTTGTTCTTGTTTTTAGTGACTTCTGCAGTTTTAGTGCAAACCAGATGTTCAGCTTAGAGCAATAACTTCAGGTTTGTAAATGTAACAATATAGATCCTATTTAACTACAGGATCATAGCTTTTCCCCAGTGTTAATAAACAAAGTGATCTGCATACCACATCTGCCTCTGTGTGCTTTCATTCAATCTCTGGTGGGTCCACCATCTCGCAGATACAGAACTCTGTATTTGTAACACCAAATCCTTTTTTCCTTCACTCCTTTAAGAATTCTATTGCCCAGGGTTTTAAAAGTAATAATACTAATTGCATTATTGTATGGAAGTCATTCTCAAGTCTCATTGTCAGTTATTGTTAGTTGTAGCTGGATTTCCTATGTTTAAGTAGCTATAACTATATTATTATAATAATTATTAAGAATAATAGTACAGTTATAGCTACTTAAACATAGGAAATCAAACACTTCATTCAAGTTGATTTTGAAAATACTCTTGAGAGGAAGAGCGTTATATATATTGTGGTGTTTCATAATTTGTTCTTTGTGCCAATTATCACAAGGGACAGTTTACAATGCATAGCTAATTTCACTTTATAGTGTGATCTAGGATGTATTTATTAATTTTAATTAGTTATTGGATTCACATTCATTGAAATGTTCCGAGTTCCTATTCATTCAGGACTTAAAAATACTAGTGGAGGGGACCAAGTGGTTTGGTGAGTTAACATGCTGTTTGTTTATATCTGGGACTTGGATTGGTATCCAGCCCAGACTCATGGAATGCAAGTTTCCTCTGTCCACTGTAAGAGTCCTTTGTGAAATATGTTTACTTTTAACTCAATTCCTAGTAGTTGTGGGTTCACAACACAAATTGCTTCAGTTTAGCACTAACTTGGCAACTGTATTCAGCGAGACTGTCTGACAGGAGAAGCGGACATGTCTCACTGATGTGGCAGGCCTACGTCTCTACAATTGGAGCTCAGCCACACGATTGGGGCTTAGTCACACGATTGGGAAGAGTGGAAGGAGCTTTACACTGCATCCAATTGAACAGTAGCTGACCTGGGAATGCTGGAAGCTCATCCAACATTGGACAAAGTTCCATTTCTCAGGGGATTTCTCAGTAATCCCCTATTAGATACACAACACAACTAAAAAAACATTCTTAAAATTACCGATAACTTATTTTGTTACCTCAGTTACATTGAAAAACAATTAGAAACAAAAAAACTTCAAAATGTGATGGAAGGAATTTCTGTTACACTTGACCCTCCTTATAATATAACTCTTGGGAGCTAAGGATTTTTACGTTACAGTGAAGTGAATGTTCCCACTGGATGAGATAAAACCTATTTGGCAGCCAAGTGCCAGTAATCTTCAATCAGAGATAGGATTATAGTTTTATTGTGAGCTAGTGCTAATTGTATTTGCATAAATTTCTCATTGATACATGAGAGAGAAGGGAATTAATGGGGAGGGGTGGAAAATAAGAAAGGCAGGTTAGGATACGATACACTTATATAGCATCTTTCATATTGGCGGATGTCTCAAAGCGCTTGACACTGTTGACTGGGCAGTCTAGCTTGGGGTGGGAGCCCAAGGGAATCGGGAGAGTAAAGATGACCGAAAGAGACACATCTTGATGAGTGGAGGAATGGATGGAGGTTCAAGTGGAGTTGGACACTAGCACAAACTTTTTGACCGAATGGCCTGTTTCCATGCTATAGATTCTACAGAATTCATTCTCAAGTCTTATTACTACACTATCAGTTGAATATGGATTGAATTTGTAGCCGGTATTTGCTATGTTCATTTGAGTTCTAATATTTTCAACTGAAGGTGATAGATATGCAGAGTTTGGTGCAGGTGGGGATGTGGATTGTGGGGGCTTTGAGCATACAAAACATCACGTTTTGATCTAACACAACAGGGCATAAAATTATGGCGTGAAGTGTGGCACTTAATCTGGAATTTGTAATGGCAGAATGATTATTAGTGGCTGCAAAATAGGACTGCAGCCCAATACGTATACTGTATCTCATCCAAAGGAAGGCACTTCCAACAGTGCAACAGTGCAACATCCTCCCAGCACTGCACTGGAGTGTCAGCTTAGCCTGTGTTAGTTCAAAGTCCCATAGTGGGGCTTGAACCCACCAATCTTCTGACTCAGGTCTGCCCAAACTGAGTTACGCTGATAACTATTGTGGTTTAATCTTCGCCACTCCTCTCTTGAAATCACTGACTTATGTTCTCTGGCTTAATGCATCAGAAGAGTGTGGCTCGAAAAGATCCAGTAGATAAGGAGGGAGGTCATAGGGTGTGAATGAGGAGCTTGAAATCTTGAGGCAGGAGGCAATGGATAGTAGTCATGAATTGGAAACCAAGTTTTCTTTTTCCCGATGCTAGCTGAGTGATGTTGAAACTAATAAAACTTCAATTGTTGTATTCTTGATGCCCAAAATGTCTTGCATTCTTAGCATTAAGATCACAATCTTAAAATTAAAGATATCACATAAATTTTGAAAAAAATTAAAAAACTATTGTTGATAGTTATAATAAAACTGAGAAAAGTTATATCAGTCTTAGGTTTGTGCAGTGTTGCCAAATGAACAGCAGTGGAAAGACTTGAACCTTACATTCTTACATTCTCTCCACAGGTAATCTATCAGTGGTGTGGGTCAAAGTGCAACAAGTACGAGCGTCTCCGGGCTGCCCAAGTTGCTGCAGGAATTCGAGACAATGAAAGAAAAGGAAGAGCACAACTCATTGTTGAAGAGGAAGGCCAAGAGTCCACAAGTATCATCAAAGTAAGTGTTATGTTGGTGAGAAACACAGACGGTTCCTGGCAATGCCACAAATTTATTATAATCGACCTGTTAAACTCAGGCCCTAATCCCACCAGCTCAGACTGTGGCACTTTTCTAAGGTTCCCATGGACCTAACATTTGTGCCAATAGTATATGGGTGTTCAACAACAACAAATTACATTTGTCTAGTGTCTTTCACATCGGGAGGACGTCCCAAAGCGCTTGAGCCAGTCAGTACATATCAACTAACATGAATCTATTATGAAATTTCATAACAAATGTCACAAATTTCAACCTGGTGTCAATTAGTTTTTAAGGCATGTGATCTTAAAGCTGGAGCCTAATTGCTGAAACGGAAAAGCTGGTTTCAGCACGACATCGAGTTACAGCAATGTGCTATTTGGTTTGGTGTCTGATTCTGATTTGACAAGTTTAGGGTTATGGAGGGCAATTTCAAACAGATATCAGGTTGGGACGTTGGTAGGATAGGTATTCTGGAAGGATGAGATCAGAGGGGCAGAAGAACCTTCTTTTTTTCACACATGTTCTATAATCTGCTCATATAATCACTTGACAGCTCATGCAAAAACTTTTAAGGGACCATTTTCATATTGTTACAACAACTTGTATTTACAACTTGCATTTATTGTGAACTTGCATATATTGCTTAATGTCAATTAAATAAATCATTTAATTGCTTTTAAATAAACTAAAGCAACTAGCAAGTTATTGGAGCTTCTCACTTGGTTGAGTTGTAGATCCACACACACACACACACATATATTTAATTATTTTATGCAATGTTGCATTGTTTTCTGTTGAGCTTCTATTTTGTGCATTGTGCAACACAGCCTGAAACAAAGCAGCTAAAGCAGGTGTTAATTTCTTAAATGAACTTATTGAAAACAGGCTGCAGAGCATGCTGTATTTAAGAATTTGCCGAATTCTGAATTGCTACAAAATAAAGTTAAACCGGACCCAGATAGAATTTCTTACCATGAATGTGTTTAAAACATCACAATTTTGATCCTATTAAAATAGACAACACAGAAGGAAGCCAGTCATTCAGCCTATTATGTCTGTGTTAGTGAAGAAAGCATAAAATAAACTCAATGGACAATATGCTGTCAATATAATCTAACTGGACCTCAATGAAAAATGAAGCTAAATGCACACCCAAAGATAAGATAAGTATACGAATGAAGTGTTAAAACTAAGATGGAACATTTACAATGCAAGGTTGAAAAGGAAATCACATATAATTTCTTGTGAAATTAATCCTGCAATGCAATTGGAAGCCTCATCAACGGAGGTAGGGCTGGGCTTGTTGTGGTTTGCATTTGATGCTGAAAGAGAGAGCAAGTATCTATAAGTTCTCTGTTCAAATAAGATAGGCAGAACAGGCAAGATTGAAACAGTATGTTCTTAAATAAATATGATGTGTGAATGTCCACACTATTATAATCAGTTCTTAATCATAACTTCCAAAAGAACATCTGATCAGATGCTAAATAGTCTGGTTTAATTATTAATAATGATACATAGCCGAAACAATACTTGATTTGTCATGGGAAAAAAAGGAAAGGATGTATGATTTTAAATTTTGACCTGTAGCTTTATGAAGAGCACCCTAGAGCAGATATGGTTAAAAATGCTCTATTGCTTATCTGGTTCTTGTTTGAATGGGTTCATAAGGTTACATGATTGGTTGAATGCAACCCTTTGGCGCATTTGATCTCATCCCTCCAAAATATCCATCCTACCATCTTTCCATCACAGCCACCATCCTAGCTTCAACCACATTGGGGGCAAGGAGGTGGAGCTGGGGGCATAAGGAGAGGGGTAAGGATGGGGTGGTGGACTTCCTTTGGGAAAAGATGGAGATGAGAGATGAGGGAAGGGATCGATCTTTTGACTAAGTATCTCTGGAACCTTCCCGTTCCTTCTGCTCAGCGGGCACTGGACACTGGCCTCCATGTCATCTTGCCCTACTCTGCCCCCACCTTCCGGAACTCCCTTCACCTCACCCCCTCCCTTCCTCTTTCAAGGCTCATCTCAAGACGTTCCTCCTTGACCATGCCTTCCCCGCTTGATTCCAACCATCAGTTCCTGTGCAAATCTTTGACAGTCCTGCAACCTGGATGTCCTCCTGATGTGAAAGGCACTATACTATTGCAATGTGTTGTTGTGTTAAGGTTCTGTTGCTATTACATAAAATATAAGTATGAAAACACAATTATGCTATCATAAAAAGTAATGTTTGCACCAACTTATTCTGGGTGGATACTTGTGTGATTTAAGTTGAGATAAAGACATACTGTATGACAGAAATGTCATACCACCTGTTAACTGTTTCAAATTTATTGCCAACTACAACAGCAGCTGGCTCCCATACATTGAAACGACATCAAATAGTAGTAGTTACTGTAGATTGTCATGTGTTCACTTTAATTGCCAGGGCAAAATGCAGGAAGCTGGCTGCTGTTTTCCTGCAGTTTTTTGGGGTCAAAATTGCTGTATTACTATACTCATCCTTTGGGAGAAATTTTACCTAGGTCTATATTTAGTCTATTAACATAACAATTTTGAGTGCCTACAATTCATAAAATTGTTCAGTTCAGTCTTAACTTTGAAGTAGAGTTTTTTTAAATTCTTAAAAGAACTTACAGAAATCAGGTTTCAAAATTAATGTTGTGTTCCAAGATTTAACAAATTATGGATGCTTGAAAATGTTATGTAAATAGAGGAAATAATAAACCCAGTTGAAATTTTTGGGACGCCCTCCTGACATGAAAGGTGATACATAAATGTAAATTTGTATTGCATTGAATTGAATTACTCCCAAATCTGTTTCCTCATTTTAAATATTAGTGTGTCAGCCTGGTTTAGTGGTGACACTCTTGCCTTTGAGTTAGAAGATGTGGGTTCAAGTGAAGTCATATAGCCTAAGCTGACAATCAAATGCAATGCTATGGTTGTGTTGCATTCTCGGAGATGCTGTCCTTCGGATGGGACATTAAACCGAGGTCCTGTCTGCCTGTTCAGGTGAACGTTAAAGATCCCATTGTACTATTTGAAGAGAAGGGGCTTTCTCCCAGTGTCTTGGACAATAATCCCTCAAAAATAAAAAAAATGGTCATTCACTTTATGGTTGTGTGTGGGATATTGCTGTGCGCAAATTGGCTGCAACATTCATCTACATAATACACAATCATTGCAATGAACAGTAAATCCTAGTAGGTTCTATATACAATGCAACGATTATTAGTAGCAAAGTAATCAGTATTATTCCATGTCAGTAAAACAAGGACTCTGTGCAGTCATGTGTTAATAGCTAATGCTCATTGTACTGTAGCTAATGGCATCAATTTGCTGACTGGCTCAACAGTTGAGTTAAACTGGTGTTCTACAAACTGGCATTGAACTGTCGCCATCCACAAGGCACAGAGTCAATGTCGCTAAAGGAGGCTCCATGGCCACTGTAGATAATTTGATACACATCGATAGATGCAGAACTTATGAGAATGGCTCAAGAGAAATGTCCCGGTGCCACCAACATTTCCTCATAACTCTATCCCTTAAATCCTGGGATTAATCTAGTAGCTCTACCGTATTCTCTATAACAACTGAATATCCCCTTTTGAAAAAGGAATACCAAAGCAGCACACAACATTTCAGATGGGGTTTGGAACAAAGCCAATTCTTGACAAAGCCTCTCTCAACTTAGACTTTATACCCTAAGGTGTACAGCTCAGCTATCCTGACTGCCTGAGAACACTGTATCGATGGATTTATTGAGCGGCCTATCAAAATCCAAGATATTCTGAATGCCTCAAACACATTTCCATTCAGTACATATTCTCAATCTCAAACTACCCTTTCTTCTGTTGAATCATAATTTTCCTTAATTTCCCTAATGAGATATAGAAACAAATGCAATTTTCCATGAAGCAGTTTATTTCCACGCTCAGGGTTTTTGAAATGACAAGTTAATTATTAATGACCACTTTGGTTTTATTTGAATGCATTTTGTACTTTGTTCAGCATTCTTCCCTCAGGTTAAAATACATCATATATTCATGTGTAGCAACATTTAACATAAGTTTGGAGATATACAAAGGGCCATTTTAAGAAGATGGCAATTGTACTAATTTACAAAATGGGAGATATGGCATTAAAGTTCATTCAATTGACACTGAGCTCAAGTAGAATTTCCCAATATTAGGGTGAAAATTTGTGAAGTGTGATGCGATAAATATCACTGATGATAATGATAATATTGTTGAGAATTCCATTGGAGCTGGTCAATAAATAAACCTGACGACAAATATAACCCTCACTGCTTCCCCCCTCTCCCAGCCACCTGGGTCTGAAGATACATTGGATTGTTGACCTGTGGAACATGACAAATTTAATAATAATCCTCCCTTGCATTTGGTATAGTGCTTTATTACGTCTTTGAGACACCTCAAAGTGCTTCACAGAACATACTGTAAAGTGAATTGACTACATTTTGTGGACGCAATGCGGCAGCCAATTGCACACAGCAATGTCCCACAAACAGTTGTGGACTGAAGTTAGGCATGGATGTTTTAAATTACTGTACAGAGAGGGGTCTCTAATTCAAACTGAAACACGATTCCTAATACAACAATACATCATCAATCAGGTAAAACTAACCTGATCGAAATCCATTCCATGTTCCCTTTTAGTAGGTGAACCATCCAACACTTGTTGAATTCTGCTTCATAATGATAGGAAGAGCTGACAGTGATTTTCCCCTCCTGCGGTTACCAGAAAGTGAGGTTGAGGCAAGGATGCTGGACTTGTTTAAGAAATATCTTGATGTTGTAACGGGAGAGTGGTTATTGCAGAGGATGTGATCAAATGGGCCAAAGGGCCTTCCTCATACAAACCTGTCTTGTGATTTTCAGAAAACCACAAGCACTTATACTTGGTTTCATTTCATCAAATCCCACTAGCAAAATAATATAGGAATACTTTCTGATTCATATTAGACTGATGCTTTACCTTTCATTCACTTTTTAGAAGATTTTATAAAGGGTTATACACAAATTTGGATGAATATGATTCGAATTTGCCAATTTCCATGAGATCAGGTTACTGCCTAGATCTTTAGTTCCTAGAGTCATATCCCAAACCGGGTTGATCAGATGATTCTCTTTCACTGCTGGCTCAAAGGCTATTGAGTGAAGTGTGTTTGGGCAGATTTAATCTGGCCCAGAACAACAGCAAAGAAAACTCCCCTATTAAAGTTGTTGTTGTGAAGGGTGCGATATAAATTCAAGTCGTTGTTGTTTTGCATTTGAATTGTGTCCCAACTTTAAGCAAAATTGTAAGTTAAAAACACAACTAAAAGATTGCTATTCTCAGCTTCTGCGAATGATAGATCCCAAAACAGGACAAAGTAAGATTTCTGAGGAAAGGTACCTTGTGGGTATGTGGATATTTTACACAGGCTGCTGGGATTTTAGAAGTAAGTAGCAGGGTAATAATTCTTCTTCTTTCTCTCCTCAAGGTCCTTGGCAAGAAACCAGAATTGTCTGAAGGTGACGACGATGATGACACTGTCGCAGACATGACCCACAGGAAGATGGCCAAGCTCTTTATGGTGATCATTGTTTTACAATACTCCAATCATAATATGGCTTACAATCAAAAAAACTGGGCCTATTTTATCGGAACAGAAAATGTTAAGTCTTTTTTAAAAAAATCTCAGTTGGATGTCTGACACACATGGGAGGTTATCACCATGCTTAAGGGTATCCTAACCAGATTGAGAGTTCCACACACATATGCCACCTACACATCGAAATTTCCCTGCGTCTGAAATTGAATGGCCACTCTGTCCCTGGAGGGAAACACCTTGCTTTCCTAATTTCAGTGTGTATTTGGCGTAGGTTGATTATGAGGGATTTTGATGGTGTAGATAGGGAGAAATTATTTTTCGCCAACAAAATACACAGTCAATTCACTTTACAGTATATTCTGTGAAGTTCTTTGAGACATCTCAATGATGTGATAAGGCGCTATATCAAATACAAGGATTATTATCATTATTATTAAGCTGTTATTATTTCCGCTGATTGGTATCAGTTTAAAATAGTAAGCCAGCAAAGGGGAGAAACGAGGGGACTTTATTTACTCAGACAGTTGTTAGGAGATCTGTTTCAAACAGTGTTCAATACTCCTGCCATCTGTCCCAGTTACTTTGTGGGGACAGCATCATCAAAACAAACTCACGTGATGAAGTGTTTCCAAGATGCAACTTGTGACATATTTTGTTGGTCAGGAATTTTCTCCGATCTCTTGTCAAGGCTGCGGTGGGAGCTGTTGTGTCCTGGAGACTGAAATTTCTCATGTTTTCAAGCTTAAGTCTTAAAATTTAAGATTATGTGGAATTTTGGAGTACAGTCCTAAATTCAATATTAACTTGAAAGACCATTATCTAGCTACTACAGAAAACAGGCTTCATTCTACAACATCTATAATGAACTCCCCCTTCTCCCTTGCTTGGTGTCCAACCCCGCTATTGTGCAGCGCTCTGAGACGCTATCCTGTATGAAAGAGCTGTAAAAATGCAACAGCGACAGCAACAAAATTTTATTTATAGCAATAATAACAACTTAATAATAATAATAATAATCCTTGCATTTGATGTAGCGCTTTTCACGTCGGGAGGATGTCCCAAAGCGCTTCACAGAACACACTGTAAAGTGAATTGACTGTATATTTGTGGGCGAACGCGGCAGCCAATTGCGCACAGCAATGTCCCACAAACAGTCGTAGATTGAAAATGACCAATTTATTATTGTTTTTGGTTTTGGAGGGATTATTAGGTGTGTGGAGTAAGGAAACTTGGCCAAGGTTTTGCCCTCTGCCTGGAATTGAACTCAGGTCTCTCACTTGCAAAGCGAGTGCTCTAACCACTGAGCTACAGGACTTGCACTTATATAGCGTCCACCACGCAGGGTAGCGTTCAGAACGCTTAACTGTGGTGGAACCTGACTCCGAGCCGGAGGTGGGGGAGAGGTGACCATAAGCACAGTCGAAATTGAAGGCTTGCAGGTGGGAGTTGAAAAAGGGGTGGGAGGGCGGCAAGGCGGAGGGATTGAGGTAGAGTGTTCCAGAGTTTCGGGGTGTGGAAGCTCAAAGCACGAGGGACAAGCAGGAGGCCGGTGCCAGTTGAACGGAGAGGTGAGGAGGTCGGAGAAGTAAGGAGGTGCCAGAGAGTGAATGGATTTGAACACGAGTGTGAGGATCTTGAAGTCAAATTTATATACTCTATTTATATAGCGCCTTTCATGTAGGAAGGATGTCCCAAGGCGCTGGACAGTTAAGGTTTGCAGCCGAGCTATTATATGCAATTGAAGACTTTTACAAAATTTCTTATACTTTACTACTAGAGCCTTAAACTTAAGAACATGAGAAAATTCAGACCCCAACAGTGGAAACAGCGCCATCTTGTGTATCTTACTGTTTAACACTATCTCAAGGCTTGCTGTCAGAAGCAGTGCTTAAATTAGTTAAATTAGTTAAATTAGCAGTGAGTTACAGGCTTCATTGATAAGCACAAAACCGATTTGAGTAAAGCTTTTAAAAAGATTGGGGAAGAAGGAACAATTTTAGGGTACTTGCATGTATTCACAGTTACGGTGTTTGGGATCTTGGCTCTTAGACATATGCAACTGCACACCTCAACATAGTGAGTCACAATGTCACCGAAAATTTATAGATCCAGACTTTGAGTGCCTTTTTGTCAAGGTAATAATAGCTTAATTTATATTGTGCCTTTTATGTGAATACATATGTAATAACCTTTTTCAAAATCCTTTCTCCTCAGGTTTCGGATGCGACTGGGTCTATGCAAGTGTCATTGGTGTCAGATGTAAACCCTTTCTCGTGTGACTTGCTCTTGTCTGAAGAATGCTTCATACTGGACAATGGAGCAAACAACAAAATCTATGTGTGGAAGGGTAAGAAATTGGCCTAAATATACAGCTCAAAAACTCCTCACTAAATGTTTTTTTTCTTTCAAAGTGGACTTGATAAAGTATTTATAAATATAAACATTGCTATTCACCCTGCACATTAACATTTCACTGACTAAAAATGAAGTAGAATTAAAATGCTGGAAATGACAGCCCAGAAAGAGGCCATTTAACCCAGTGAGCCCCTGCTGATGTCACCTCCTTGACGTAATAATTACCTCACACTTTATATCATGTCTATAATGTCAAAACATCTCAAAATAATGTCAAGTGATTGGTAGGCAAACACAGCAGACAGTTTCCTTGCTCAAGATCCCTTAAATAACTACCGTGAATGACCAATTTAGAACAATAATAATACTTGCATTTGAGATTATGTCTCTCATGTCAGGAAGAAGTGTCAAAGTGCTACACAGGAATTTCTGTAAAGTGTAGGGACTGTATTTTATAGGTGAACTGAAGGATTGCAGGTGAGTACAGTGGGAGAAGCTTCCTTCTCATTTCAACTAGTGCCATGGGAACTCTAATGTCCACCTGAACAGCCAGACGGCTTTAAATAGTCTCATCTAAAGGATTGCATCTGCAGCAATGCAGCACTCTACTGATACAGGGCTTAACCCCCCAATCCTCTGACCTACTAGAGTGAATGCTACCACTAAGCTAAGCCATGTAGAGTCAAATCTGTTTGAGCAACCACTTCCATTTAGCAACCACCCTCCGTTATAACCACCCTTGAATAGTCCGGACAGATTTTTCATAATAAACCATCGCTATTCAGTAAGCACCTGTCTAATGCAACGCAACCAGTGTCCACTGTTTGTTAGCCTGTTTACACCCAGTGCCTTTATACCAACACCCTTTTCAATGGCCAGTTGTCTCCATTCTTCACCTCTTCTCTGTGTGCGCAGGCATGTTTGGTGAAGTGTGTGTAAGAGGAGGGAGACATTGCAATTGCATGAGGGCACCTCTCTCCCCTCCATGTGCACAGGCATGTCTGAAGCTTCTTATTACAATAGTTGAAAGCGCCGAAAGTGCAATTTTCGAGTTCTGTCTCGATCTTTTTGGACATCGACACTGAACTGCAACATTGCATTTTATTAAAATAAATTAAATTTATGGGTTCATATGTGCACTGTATTTTGTGATACACTTAGAAATTCTACACACACCAATAAATATTTCACCAACAAATATACTGTCAATTCACTTTACAGTCTATTCTGTGATGCGCTTTGAGACAGACGTCTAGAAGACGTGAAAAGTGCTATATCAAATGCAAGGATTATTATTATTAAGTCCTTAGAGGCCATCCTTATATAAAGGCCACTTTGGCTAGTCCCCTGAGTGGTTGTTGAAGACAGGTTTGACTGTATATAAAGATATGTGCCACAGCTTTCATTTCTCTGATAGCATTGTAGTAACTTAATTGGTAACAATTGGTAAATTAAAGTTCGTCAATTCATGTTCAGTAAATTTCACTGGTTTATACCAAAGTGTTTATACCATTGTGTTGTCGTACCTGCAATATCACTGGGTATCTGCTGATGGAGCCAGTGAGCTAAAGACAGTGCTATTCTCAATAGCACCACCAGTAGATATGTAATGGTGCTACAGTCCCAATTAGCCAAGTTCTTTTGTGTGTGTACATGATTTACACAGTATCACTTTTAAAAAATGTACAACAGTGAGTCTTATTTCATGATAATACTGAAAAATTCAAGGGAAGGAGAATTTCTATTATAAACAGAAACGAAAAATTCACCAGTGTTGGCAGTCAGCACAAGGCAGAAGCTCTAGTCGGTAAGTTGTGGGTTCATTTCTTGAATCCAGCACTTCGAACTTCCAGTCTACCTGACGATCAGATGCAGTACTGGGGGTGCACTGCATTGTCGGAGGTGTTATGCTTTGGATGAGATGTTAAAACCGAGGTCCTGTCTGTCTGCTGATTTTTCCGATGCCCTCTTGCCAGTCTCTCCAGCTTCACCATTCATAAAATCCAGTTAATTCAAAACTCCGTCTTTCATATCCTCACTCGTACTAAACTCCAAGCCACTCACCGCAGTTTTTGCCAGGTTCCACTGGCTCCCTCCTGCAGAATTCATTGATTTTAAAACTTTCACACTCACTTACAAATAAATCACTTCATGCCTGGCACCTCCCTCCCTCTCCAAACTGCTTATATCCCACTCCACTACCCGCCATCTTTGCTCAGCTGCCTCTGGCTTCCTGCATGTCCTTCATCCCCTCCGCTCCACCATCAGTGGTTGTGCTTTCATCCACTGCATCCCAAGGCTCTGGAACTCTGCCTCAGTCACTCCTTCTCGCCTTGGGACGTCCTCCCGACGTAAAAGGTGCTCTATAAATGGAATCTTGTTGTTGTTGTTGTTGTTGTTCTCTCTGCCTCAATCCATCCGCCATGTTTCCTACTTGCCCATCTTCAGATCACACATGAAGACCTTCCTCTTCGACACCACAACTGGCACCGCCTTCCATCACCTCCGGAATATCGCCAGATTACGGCACTACCTCACCCCTCACGCTGCTGAAACCCTGGTTCACGCCTTTGTCACCTCAAGGCTGGACTATGGGAACTCTCTCCTCGCCGGCCTTCCCGGCACCTCCCTCCACAAGCTGCAGGTCATTCAGAACTCTGCAGCTCGTGTACTGTCCCGCACCAGGCTTCGGGAACACATCACTCCCACCCTCGCTCCCCTCCACTGGCTCCCCATCCCCCAGAGGATTGATTTCAAGATCCTCATCCTCACCTACAAGGCCATTCACGGCCTTGCTCCCTCCTACCTCTCCAACCTACTATCCCCCTACCTACCTGCCCGTACCCTCCGTTCCTCTGGCTCCGGTCTGCTCCACGTCCCCCGCCCCAACCGCCCTACTATCGGTGGTCGGGCCTTCAGCCTCTCAGCCCCGAGGCTCTGGAACTCCATCCCCCAGTGCCTTCGCCTTGCTTCCTCCCTTTCCTCCTTCAAGGCCGGTCTCAAAACCTTTCTCTTTGACCGTGCCTTCAGCTCCCCTCTCGACTCTCTTCCTCCTCCTCGCTCCCTCCCTTCCCTCCCCTCACCCTGACCATTTCCCCCTCCTCTCTCCCTCCCTTCCCTCCCCTCACCCTGACCATTTCCCCCCTGCTCGGGTCATGACCCAACTGTGCAGCGCCTTGGGACGTCCTCCTGACGTGAAAGGCGCTCTATAAATGGAATCTTGTTGTTGTTGTTGTTGTTGTTTAAGATCATTCAGCTGATCTTTTTGAAAAGAAAAGGGACTTTCCCTTGGTGTCTGGCCAACGATCCTTTCACCTGGCTGTCTGTGAGACATTGCTGTGCACAAACTGGCCGCTCTGTTCAGTTACAAATACAAAGTTATTATGCTTTACAGTAATTACTGTGAGCATTTTGAGACTTCAACATAATAAAGTGCTGTATCAAATGCAAGGATTATTATTTATTATTATTACAGAAATGGCCTCACCAGGAGTTATTTCCACTTGTAATTAAATGTAAGCAAAGATTATTTCCTAAAATGTCTTCATTTTGTTTTCATAAGCTCTCAATTTGTTCATGCTGCGTTTATACTGCAGGGTGGGCAGAGGCTCATGTGAAGATTAATCACTTGCATGGAGTGGTTGAGCAGAATGTGTTGTTTCGCTGTTGAACGGTTGATGTAACTCAGGCCATAGCTAAACTGTGGGGCTAACAACTGCACTATCACCTATTTCTCCTGCCAGACAGTATGGTGTTATTGATATGTAAAAAACAAGCACAAGACTGTCCTGAAGCAGGGATACGAGTAAATCAAATAACAAATAAATTATCTTAGCAATTTAAATGAGAAATGCAATGATATCGTTCCCCCTGGTTTTAGAAGAGAAACAGAAAGTACTTTATAGCTCAGTGTGAGCAGTACTGTGCCAACAATTACTTTTCACTCATGCTCTGCTTAATGAGAAAACATTCTGGTACTTAGGTAAACATGCCAACCCAGAAGAAAGAAAGGCAGCCATGAAGACGGCTGAAGGATTCATAAAGCAAATGGGCTACTCAGCGAACAGTCAGGTGAGATGGGATTCCTCAAGCCAGAAATGGCTAGATTGCTTCAACTACAACAGCTTGCACTTATATGGCACACAAGATGAAAGTCTTAAGGTGCTTCATAGAGACCTCTATTTATGTGACTATCATATAACGTGAAAATGCAGCTCAGATGGAAGCCTTGTACTGTGTGCATGTGACACTGACAGGCCACTGTTCTGGTTGTCCTCTCTCGCCCAAGATGAATACAGTATGCTCTGAAGTGCTGTATTCACAGGAGCATTTAAAAAGAATTTGTACATATGGAATCCTGCAGGTAACAAGTTATGCATCAAACTGACCCTGTGGGTACTCTCTTCTAATGTCCTTGGGAGGAGATTCTGTGGAAGCCATGTTCTGGGGGTCTGTAAGACACAAGTCTCAGAGGAATCTGTATTTGAGAAATCTTATTGAATTCTACTCAGGATACTGTGTTTTAAAGCCTTGGACTCTTTTAATGGGATTTAAGCTGAAGTAAAGTAAAACAGAGATTGTAAAATCCATCAAGCAGAAAAATAACAGGCGCAAGTTCATTCTGATCCTGGACTGTCAGCACAGATTAGTTTCTTGTGGACTGAACTGCATAACTCTCAACTATGAAAGAGAAATAAATACTCCCATTAGAGGAGTTATAGCTCTTTCTCCGCTCTTCATACAAAGGGGATCAACCTATTTATTAAACTACACTGGAAACAACTGGAGCATTGGTGGTTCAGTGGGAGAGGTGGAAATGGTCTTTCACTTCTGAGACCTGGATTTAAATTTGATCTGGATTGATGGGATAAGCTATTCTCTCTCTGTCAGATTAAAGATTCTATATAAAATGAGAATGAGTCAGTCTCAACTCTTTTTCTAGTGGGTTTGAACGTGGGCACACTAGAAATTTGGCTTGAATTGGCGATATGTTGGGAATATCATTAAGAAACATCATAAGGGAGCAATTTATAGCAGTAAAACAGAGATTTATAGCAGAAATGGAGGAAATAGAGAGTTAGAGAGACTCAAAGAGTCTCAGAAAGAGAGAGCAAGACAGAGTTAGACACTGAGTGAGTGATAGAGAGAGAGAAAGGTTGGTACAGTATAGTATAGTCACAATGTAACTATATACAGTAAAATGATGTTTTAATTAGCACTATAGCCAATCTGTATTTTGTGTGATGACATTATCTGCAGTATTTCCTTATCCACAATTGGACTGGTCCCAATTAGTGTGGATAATCAGTCTGTAGGTGGTGCTCTCCTGAGATTGTGGTTAAAATACTTTCTTCATTACTCTACTGGTCAGCAAGTTTACTTCTTTTTAAAAAAATAAACCAATTAATGCTTTGTCAGATCTTGATTTATTGTGAATTTGTAGAATCGTAGAAATTATAGAAATTACCGCACAGAAGGAAGTAATTGTGTAACAGAAGAAACTCTGGCAGACAGAGAATAGTTTAATTCCATCAATCTTTTCATTGTGTTAGCTTCTCCACTGCCTCCTCCAGGAAAGCTACTTTAATTCAGTTTCTCCTTTCTTTCCCTGTATCCTTTTATAGTATTTGTCTTCAAATACGTATCCCAATTCCCTTTCAAATGTGATGGTCTTAGATTCAATTGTGACTTATGGCAAAGCATCTTCTAATAATCCCCTGTGTCAAATAAAAACTTCTTTCCTCTCCCTTAATTCTTCCAGTGACATATCTTGGACATATGCCCCTCTAGTTTACTGGTTTACCAACCAAAATATCCATTTAAGTTGCGCTCTTCATGCGGGTAGCATCACAGAGAACCAGCGGGATATCTATTAATTCATTTCACATTGAATCTTATCAGTTAGCAGAAAATTAAGCCATAGTTATCTAACAACTGCATTAAAGAAAATGTAGAGGTAGGAGCTTTGCAATGTATGTGTATCTTGTAGCTGACTTCCTTTTAGCTGATGGGTAGCTATTGAAAAGGCAAGAGGGAGATAATTACTTCAAACATCAGTCATATTTCCAGCCTGCAGAGTTAGTAGAATATGTAGTATTTCTGTCACTGCATTAATATTGTATTAGTACTGGAGGAAATCACAGACAGCCTTGTTTTCCCCTGCAGATACAAGTGCTTCCTGAAGGTGGAGAGACTCCAATCTTCAAACAGTTCTTCAAGAATTGGAAAGATGTCAACCAGAGCGAGGGATTCGGACAAGTGTACACCACAGAGACAATTGCAAGAATCAAACAAATTGAATTTGATGCCTCAAAGCTGCACTCTTGTCCACAGATGGCTGCAAAACACAACATGGTGGATGATGGTTCAGGAAAAACAGAGGTACCTTGTAACAATATCAGCTACAACTTTCAGTGGTATTTCACATAGGATGAATGTCTTGAAACAACAAAGAAGATCACCAAGCAGGGAAGGAATGAGGCACAGCTTAAGGGTATTGATCAAAGACACAGTCAGAAGAGATATGATTTTACAGGGTAATGGAAGCAGGGATAAAAGGCACAAGGTGATAAGAGTTTGTGAGAGAATTATAGAGAGGATGAGTATAGTGGCTGAAGACTCGATTAAATGATGGTGGGATGAGGTGAGGAAAAAGTAGTAGATCAAACTTTGGAAATGCAGAGGGTAAGAGCAGGAGAAGAGAGAGCTTTAAGAGATTGCAAAGGTAGAGAGGAGCAAGATGATGAAAAGATTTGGATGTCAGGGCAAGAATCTAGAGGTCAATCCACTGAGATATTGAAGTGATTTGCACATGGTGAGAATTAAGGGCGATGGGGTTGCAGAACATACAGAACATTAAATCAGTACAGATTTAATGCAAATTTGCATTTATATGGTGCCTTTCATGTTGGGAGGACATCTCAAGGTGCTGGACTGTCCGGGATTTATATCGATCTGGGGCCGGGAGTGGGGAGTCAAGGAGACGTGGGGTGAAAGGAGAGAAAGATAGCTGAAAGCAAAGTCAAAGAGAAATGTCTGGAGGAAGATGTTGAAGGAGTTGAGGACAGAGCGAGTTGAAGGGACTCTAGGATACAGTTTAAAGGTTAGGATGAGGTTCTTGAATATAGTGTGGGAGAACTGCAAAGTTTGGGATAAGTTAAGCTTATGAAAGATTGTTGGGACTGGTTGTAGATTGGTTAAACTCAGTGGTGCCATACAGCAGTGTGGTTATTGGGAGGAGGGCTAATTAACATTGCTGTTAATGGCAATATCTAAATGACATGATTCTGCAGGTTCCTATCCCTTTCTTTATCCGTAAAGTAATTCACCATCTTTTTACAAGGCTGGATAGGCCCATCGACTATTGTGCACCAAACCATAGTTAGAAGAAGTTAGTTTTTTTCCCAGCATTAGTTGAAAGACTGTGTCTACCATATTCATGGTCATTGAGAAAACAGTGAAGAAAGTCTTATTTGTGAAGTTTGTAAAACAATCACTGTATTTTACATTTTGTACTGATTTCTTCTTTCTCTCCCGTACACCCCTCCGCACCAGATCTGGCGTGTTGAGAGCAATGGTCGCATTCCTGTTGACGAAAGTACATACGGGCATTTTTTTGGGGGAGATTGTTACATCATTCTTTACACGTACAGATCGGGTCAGATCATCTACACCTGGTAAGTTAATCCAATTTCATATTTATTGGTTTGTAACAATGTTTGTAACTTTGATTGTGCAAGAGGAGACACACACTGTTATTCAGCCTCACTTATACAAGAGGGACGCACACTGTTAGACGACCTCACTTATACAAGAGGGTCCTGGTAATTGGACTTCTCTATGACAACAGTCAGTGGACGATAGTGGGTGTCCACCGAGAGATAGATATGTAGGGGGAATGAGTGACAATCAGATGCAACGTCCTCCTCTGAATCTACTCTACTGAGAGTTGATTAAACCTATTCTGGGAGACCAACAGCAGTTTGTTTTTACTGTCCTGCCAGGCAGTCAGTATCATCTTTTTAAGATGATTGGATTAAAGAATGACACCTGTATCTCAAACATTTCCCACCAGACATTACAAGAGTTACTGTGTATAGTAGCTACGTCCCTGAAGGCTGTCTGCGTTTGTCTATAAAATGCTTGTATTTTATGACACCAACAAGGAGAGAATGGATCATTTAGGATTATAGATTTTGATGGCATTACTTGAATTACAACACAAAAGTTTCAGCTGGTGAGAGATGCTACTGATGGTGTCGTTTCTCAGACTCTGTAAATGAGACAACTTTTAAACCAATTAGCAAATAGTGAAGGTACTACTGTCATATTACATTAATATCAGTAACATTCAGACTGACAATAGACTGTCATCCTGAACATCATGAAAGTCTCTGCATGTTTCAGAGTTTGCTGTTATACAGCTGCACTATTGATGATTAATTTATTGAGGCCTGTTACATTTTTTCTTTGAAAATCAGTCAGCACAGCAGAGTGCCATTAGTGACTGAAAGAGGGTTTTTACTGGGAGGCTGTTGACAGTGTGTGACAGAAGTGTGCAGATTATAGGCATATGATTAACTAGAGATTAAAGATAAATTCAACATACAACAAAGTCAAGGAGAGAAACAACTGCAAGCATGTAAATGTTGAAGTTGAAAGCTAATTCAGTAAGTAGCAAAATGCTACAATAAAACAACCTGACAATATCAAGGTACAACCTGAAATGACCGTAGCTCTGTTTTATTCTGAAGCACATGCAAACCAATATAGAGAGAGTTTGAGGATTAATCTGGTAATTTGTATATTGAATTTAAGATGCTCAGTTTAAAGGGACACTATCCTTATCTCCAGAGAGGTTGAAATGCCAAAAGAATCATTTCTATTTTACTTTGAAAAGGATTTTTTTGAAAGTAAAATCCAATGAATAGCCCACTGATGTGGTTTGTCATGAATAACATCAAACAAAACAATAGTTTGCTGACATTTTATATGTAAAGACTGTGACTTTGAAATAATTCCACTTTGGCCTCTCTCTTGCCTGTCTCAAGTTTGTGTGCCCCTCCTGGTACTTCAGTTAATTAATAATGATCTTTACATTTCTTACAGTCTCTTATCACATCATCAAGGAAGGATTTACTATACAACCTAGTGAAAGTGACTATCTATTTGTAAGCAAATGTAGTAGTCAATTTGCGAACAGCAATGCCTTTGAAGTTAATTAACAATTTAGTTTGGGAGATTGTTGGCCACCTTTCTCTCTTGTAATAGTGCCATGGGATCTTTAAAATCTACCTGAACAGGCAGACAGGACCTTGTTTAAATATCTCATCCAAAGGATTGCACCTCTGGCAATGCACTGGCATATCAGTCTAGTTTAAGGAGCTCAAAGTTCTGATGAGGGGCTTGAACTAATAACATTTTGACGGAGAGGTAAAAGTACTACAAAGTGAGTTGAACTGTTTTAGCAGGAGTCAACATACCTCCTGCACATAAATACTCAGTAATGTACAGAACAAACAATAAATTATATTATTATTATTAAATGTAACAAAATATCTCCCCATTCTTTTAAAATGTATATATTTCTTATTTACCCTATTTTAAACCAAAGCTATGGGGTGTTTTTAGCAAGAAAAAATATGGAATTAGACAGTCATTTCAACTACATGGATATGGGGAAAGGGCAGGTAAATGGGGCTGAAGGGTTGGTCTTGTGGAAGCCGACACAGATGAATGGACTTCTTCTGTGCCATAAATTACTATGGTTTTACCTTCAAAATGACTTAATGCTACAGATATTCTTTTAATGTTCCAGAATTCAATTGCACTCCTGTGGAGGAGCATCAGCAACGGTACCACAAATAAAATCTCTCATGTTAACACTTGCAGATTATTATTTCTGATACACCCATAAAAAATAAAGTGTGCCTCACTGTTCTTCAATGTCTCACTGTCCTCTGGGTAACATTGTTGTCTTCGCAATTGTAAATCAAAGACTTCTGTGCAGCCTAACTCTGAAATCCGGCAGCCTTAACTGTAAGGATTTTTTGTAAGCACTCAGACAGACTACAATATTAAATGGGAGTGAGGGGACTCTTGCATTGCCCACCTCTTCCATTACAAGTGAGCCTGAAGTAGGTTATTTGGAGCACTTCTAACACTGACTGCCCTGCAACTGAAGAAGGAAGGTTGAAAACCTTGTGAGGAATGTTAAAAAGAAACATAAACAGGCTAACAGAGATATGAAGAAGTAGGAGAAGATTTGACACTGAATTTGCTGCTTACTGTTAAGTTCTCTGAGAAACTGTGAGAAAGAAAAACTTTGTACAAAAGGGAGATGCAAAGTGAATGGAGCTTTTGTTAAAACTTGTCATCGTCGTCCTTCTCGCGCCCCCCAACCCCCACCCCCCCCCCCCAGGTTTATTTACTGGGAAAATATTCATTCAGCGGTAATGTTTAAAAACTTTAGGCAAATCTGATTGAATTTATAGTCATCAATTATATGTCTTGTTGTGGTATAGATTGAGTTAAGTACTTTGCTGCAATCGTCTGCAATTTTGCTGCTCAAAAATTGCTGTCTTATTACATTAATATTGAGGAGAGTTGCCCTTAAGCCAAGTACCAACGCATTTAAGAGATTTTTGTAATTATCTCTGTGTTCCCTAAAACTCTCATCTAAGCATTTTTGTTCTTTATAAAAGCTCCATTTATTACACTTTGCAAATTTAATTAAGTGTTCAATTTAGTCGCAGGTTTATGTGAGCCATGCTTACATGAGTTGTTCTTAAATAAAATAGGTGTTTTTATGGCCTTGAATCCCATTTTATATGAGATAGTATTTGACCAACTGTCTGTTTTCAGAAGGCTAATTTGCAGTATTTCTCAGTAGGTTTCTTAGTAAGAAATGTGTAATTAACAAATTTATAATATATTGAATATGCTCCTGAATGCAATGCTCTGCAGATTTGGTGTTTTAGAAAATCAATTATTAGATATTTCATAATAAGAAATTTCTTAACTACTGCAAATTAGACCTGTACATTTTAGCAACAGAATAATTTTCCAGTGGGTATTTGGACCATAGAAATTTACAGAGGAAAGAAGGTCATTCATGTCTGTGCCAGCATTTTTAAGAGTCTCATTTATCTGCCCTATCCTCATACCACTGTAGTTTTTGCAAGGAAACGGCAAAGGACACTTCAGTTTCTTCTATTATTATTATTTTATCAGTATTTTGTGATTCTCTAGTGGGAGAGGGATTACATTGGTGTCAAAATATGAAATTTCAATATTAGACTTTGCTGTCTCACACTGTGGTTTAATGGCTCACCACTTCCTCATCAAAATAATAGGTCTTGACAGAAATGCTGAACACACATATTCAACATCCACAGGGTGAATGCAACATTTCATTAAACAAAGGCAGGTTATAGCAGGCTATTCAACTACAGGGCATGACCACTGAATCAGATCCATTCCTCACCCAATATCTCCACATGTGCGCCTTTCAGATGGATAGTGATCAGGAATGGAAACCTGACTGATTTTCACAAACCTAACATTGTTCCAATTACAAGTTGTCGCTTTAATATACATTCCACAAAAACTCTGATTCTGGATATGGCTGTGATATAACAAAGGCCTTACGTTTGATATAGCACTTATCACGTCGTCGAGATGTCTTAAAGTGCTTCACAGGATATACTGTAAAGTGATGTGACTGTGTATTTTGCGGGCGAGAGTGTATTTTCTCTCTCTGGGATCTAATTTGCCAGTCTCACAACAGCAATAACTTGCATTTATACAGTACCCTTCACATGGGATAGTGTCTGGAATGCTTAACAATGCCATAGTTTGACACCAAGGTGTAGAGAAAGGGGAGGTCACTGTAGGCACGCTCAAAGAGGAAAGTCTTCAGGCGTGATCTGGGACAAGGCGACAGAATTGAGGGTTGGGGCATTGTTGTTGAAGGCATGGCCTCTGATGGTAGAGCGGTGGGGTTAAGGGATGCTCAGAAGGCCGAGCCAGCTGAGCAAAAGGGATGAGTAGAGGAGTGGGGCATAAACAGGTCAGAGAGTTAGGGAGATCCCGGGGCATTAGTGATCTGTAAATGATTGTGAAGAACTTGAAATTAATGTGTTCTGCAATTTGAAATTAATCTGTGGAGCCTGGCTGTGGGTGGGTGAAGTGGGTGTGGAGTCACAAAAGGATTTGTAAATAGCAGATCCTGGTTGTGTCTTTGGCTGACCCTCTGGAACAGCACTAAGAAGCTGTGCACCACGAGCTTCTTTTAGCCTCAATTCACCTTCATGAAATTTGATGCTGAATTCAGCATCTGAGAAAAATTCCAGTTGGTCAGCCTGAGACACACCAGGGAACCTGCAGCATGTGCTTTCACAAATCATTTGTGTTATATTGTGTGATGGTTACTCAGCTCTATGTAGCTTTCCTCTCCAGCATCAAGTTAAGTAAGCTGCAGTTGTTAATCTTGCCTCTGATCCTATTTCATAGATCAGTCACCCCAAGCAAACATTGGCAGAGTGAAGCTCATCTTGCTGGTAGCCTGACAGAGAACTGACACTTGATAATACTGAGCTGCTGTTCAGAAGTATTTCCAAACCAACCAATATGCTCAACAGCATTGTACGATCACTAACTTCTAATAATTTCTACAATATATATTTTTTGGTATATATATATATATTCTACAAAAGATATACTGATATATTTAGTGGGTGAAAGGCAGCCGCCAGTTTGTGCACAGCAAGATCCCACAATCAGCCATGATGTAAGTGACCAATTTTATTGGGTAGGTTCGTGTACCAGAACACTGGGAGAAACTCCCTTCTCTTTCCAAATAGTGCCATGGGATCTTTAACATCCACCTGAAAAGGCAGATGGGAGCTTGATTTAACATCTCATCCGAAGGATGACAACTCTGACAAGGAAACAATCCCTCCAGCACTGCATTGGAGTGTCAATTTTGACTATATGTCTTGAATCCACAACCAACTGACTCATTGGTGAAAGTGCTACCAGCTGAGCCAGGCTGACACACGGATTATTCATTCTGCTTTATTTTGACTCATCAATTTGACTCTTTTTCCATTTACTCAGCTTTCCCATTCTTCAATACTCTATTCATTCTTTAGTGGATCACATTCCTTTTACATGACCATTCCCCTCTGCTATCAGGTGTTCACACCACATTCTGATATACATATGCCAGGCTCCTTATGATCACGTTTGAGAGTTGACAGTCTCCAGTAGAAAGGAGAGTGAGATCCCAATTAACTCAAAAGCAAGGTAGCAGTCAGTGGGTAAAGTGTCTGATTCAGTATATCAGAATTTTTTTTCCAAAAAGCCTATCTTTATTCCTGAGAAAGTCAGCGCTGTACTGGAGTCAACATCAGCCCTTGTAACTCACAATTATTGTTGTGGTTTTGGGGCTGCCAAACTGTAAGTGACAATAACAGGAACTCAATATGTCAAGGGATACCTCCATTTAGTTTTTATTTCTAAAATGTATTTAAAAATCTGAAACCAATGCAAAGCTCTCTTATTTAGTAGCTGTGTCCTTGAAATAGATACAAGACATTTCAAGGTCAGCATTTCAGTGAAAGATTGTTTGGGGTGGGTGATACCAATTGAATACAATACATTGGGATTGGAAAGTGTTTGTGGGGCAAACATCGGCATGAATGGCACTTTTGGATGTTTAGTGTGTCCCCTAGAAAACCCCAACAAAGTTTCATGAGAACTCAGCTTCAATTTTTATTTGGTCAGCGGGTGTCTGACACATACTGAAGCTCATGCTTAAAATATCCAAACCAAATTAGAGCTCCATGCATCCAACCTATGCACAAAAAAATCAATGAGATCTTGAGTCAGCTTCAATGAAATCTTCAGTCATGCTGAAATGCTTGTAGTTCACCATGTAGGCACACATTCACTCCATTTTACAGTATATCCTGTGAAGCGCTTTGAGATTTCTTCCTGAAATGAAAGACACTATACCAAATGTAAGGATTATTATTATTATTCCTTATTATATAGAGAAGACAAACTTTAAGTCACAGGTTATTTACTTATAGGAGGTGCTGCTTGCTTTCAATCAGCAGTATGATGGGTTCAAGACATCAGCAGTGTGTGGTGGATCAGGAGCTCAAACTCATGTGATAGTGTGATAAAAACTGTCAGTCTGGCTCAGTTGGTACACTCTTGTCTCTGAATGAAGAAGTTTGTGGGTTCAAGCCCCACGTTGGAACCTAGAACTCATATAGTCTAAGATGGCACTTCATTGCAGTGCTGGGATTGTGGTGTGCGCAAATTGGCCGCTGCGTTTGCCCACAAAATACTCCGTCACTTTACTTTACAGCATATCCTGTGAAGTGTATTCCTGGTATGAAAGATGCTCTAGCAAAGGATTACTATTATTAAAGTGCTTCATCACAGCTACTCTGTTTTTTTCCACATTGGATTGTTGAAATCAAAACTCTTTTTAAAAATGCATTGAGCAAAACTCTTTGCTTTATTTCAGGCAAGGAATGACTGCAACAAAAGATGAAATCACCATGTCCGCATTCCTCACCGTCCATCTCGATCGGTCACTTGGCGGAGGAGCTGTTCAAGTAAGTTTTTATATTTTTGAAGTAGGAATTTTATACTTTTGTTCCCGTTACTTGTTTATTTCCATTACGTTCTGACACCATGGGTACCAGGAGAGCATCATTCCAAGCACACCACAGGGTCTGAGATTGCCCTGAGCGATCACTCTTCATTTGTGAGCTCAAACAGTGAAAGATTGTTTGATTGTTGACAACACGTGGCTTTATTGGTGTAAGAGGTACAAATTGTATTAGAATATATTGGGATTGGAAGCAGTACCAAGCTGTTCGGTCATGGGATATCACCTGGCATCCACATATTTGGAGGGAATCTATGATATGTGATGTGTTAATTATTACTGGTGATAAATGATATATGTGCTTGAGACAGTCAATAACTAAAGACTGTTTTGCAGATGATACCTTCCCTCCAAGCTTCCATGACAGTGGTTCGGCACAAAGCAGACTAGCACCACATCTGTTCAGGTGGACATTAAAGATCCCATGACACTATTCAGAAAGACAAAGGAGTTTCCCTCAGTCCAGCTTAACAATCCTCCATCTAAAATTGTTAATTGATTTCATGACAGTTTGTGGGGCTGTGCACATCATTTGTCCATAAATCCAGTCATTACTCTTTACAAAACAATATGAAGAATTTTGAAACAGTTCAGTGTTATAGGGACTATATCACTGTAGATAATCAAAGATTAATGTGATAGTTATCAACTATTTAGGAGAAGCCAGGTCATAACATTGAGTGAGGTAGTACTTGCTGCAAATGTTATCCCTGTTCCACAATGCCTGGTGACATTGTGCCACTAGAGGTCCCCATTGTTGCTCAGAAAGCCAGAACTTGTTTGAAAAAAAGCAGATGTTTCTATGAGCTTGAAAAAAAATTGATTCTGAGTTTCAAGAAAATCCTTGATGAGCTGTTATTCTTGATAAATGCACATTGGCACAATGCACAAGAGGTAACATTAGCAGTGACCCAATAACTCAGTGACTCAGCTCCAGAAGCTGGGAGTACTGTGTTTGCAGTTAGTTCCATGCTATAAGTGAGACAGCACTGTATTGAAAAAAGTCACTGGCGTTTATATGAATTATGTTCAGTGAAAAACTAAATGTTTGAGGATCAGTTCTTGGCTGCAATCCTGTTTTTTTCCATTTTTCTTGGCCTGTTATTGGACTTCTTTGTAAATACGTCAAATCAATACTACTCTTGTAAAATTCTGGAGGGAAGAGGCTGCTGCTGGAAGTAAATCATTCATGCCCCACTGTTGTCTCCAAGCTAAATGTCAAATTCTGCGAGTACCCTTTACAGAGGAAACAGCACCTACCTTCCACTGGAATCATTAAAATCAGCCAATGTATCCTGTTTGGGAGAACATCTGAAAAGGCTTAAAAAGGAAAAAAAAATGGAAAATGGTCATCCAAAAAGAATCCACTTCATGCATGCTGTAAAAATCTGTCAGGTTTTAAAAAATATTGAAGTGACATGTCTAAAACGTTTGTAAAAATAACATGGTAAATATTGTGGTGAAAAACAATCCATTAATTTTCAGTAAATTTGTTGTGTCTTGTCATATCCTCCAAATGAGATGTTAAAGAGGGGCCGTGGCAGCTTGTTCAGGTGGATGTTAAAGATCCCACGGCACTATTTGAAAAAAGATGAGTTTCTCCCAGTGTCAAGCCAACAATCCCCCAAATAAAATGGTCACTCACCCCATGGCTGTTTTGGGACATTGCTGGTACAAACTGGCTGCCATGTTTGCCCACAAAACACACATTCACCTCACTTTGCAGTATATCCTGTGAAGTACCTTGAGACGTCCTTACAATATGAAAGGTGCTATAACCAAATGTAAGGATCATTATTATTGCATTTGTAGACTCAGTATACAAGATGGTTACATTTTCATAAAATACCAAGTTGGGGGGATCTGTGATACAGAGTAAACAGCCAAGATCTTACAACAGTTCGTAAAATTCTTGCCTCTGGGTCAAAGAATTGTGGGTTCAAACAGTCTAGGATGATCCCTAGTTTCAGAAGGATGAAATTTGTCCAAGCTGGCTTCCCACAGGTAGAATTTGAATCCAGCAGAAAAAAAACTGTTTTTATTCAGTAATTTCCCTTTGCTGCTGGATTCAAATGCCACTAAATAGTGTCAGGGCAGTGTTTTAATGTGGGGATTCCCTCAAACTGTACCATCGCTCAGACTATACCATTCTACCAAGGTTGCTGGGGTGAACATCATTGTACTATATGTAATCGAGTGTGTTTGTGAGATTTTTCAATACAAGTTCTAAAAATAAGTCTTTGAGACAAGGCAATCTGGAGAATTGTCATGGCATTTTTAACATTTACCTGAACACACAGAAAGGACCTCACTTGAACATCTTAGCTGAAGGATGGCACCTCCGATAATGCGGTATACCTCCAGGACGGATTTGCAGTGGCAGCCCGAGACTTTGAACTCAAAGCCCCCAAATGGGACTTGAACCCAGAATCTTCTGACTCAGCTACTAACTGAGTCAGGCTGACATATTGTTCTGTTGCAAAATAGGATAGTGTCTAATCCGTGCTGAAATTATAAGTGTTGTTGTCCAGAAGAACAATTCTGAATATAGGTTTGTGATGAAGATAATGTTAAGTGGCAGCTTTGGATGTGCAGCTGCTTAGCCACGACTTTAATGAGAGTGTTAGTAATTGTTACTGTGCAGGAAATAAGATGGTCGATGCCGTAACATTAAAATACCATAATTCATGGCCTAAGTCAGGCAATAGGTCTCATTGATTTTTTTTTCTTCTAAAGGTTCGGGTGACTCAAGGCAAGGAGCCTTCCCATTTGCTCAGTTTGTTTAAAAACAAACCACTCATCATTTATAAAAGTGGAACATCGCGGAAAGGAAATCAGAACCCTGTTCCCTCAAAACGTCTTTTTCAAATCAGAAGAAACTTGGCAACTATTACCAGAATTGTGGAGGTAAGAGACTGAGCAACATTAATACCACAAAAGGTGTTGTTGAATAAAAGTTTTTGAATTCTTTGAAAAAGCAACATTGCAGGATATGGGGAGTATCTAGTGTAAACTTCATTTACAAAGGCAATGTTGTGTGTCATTAACTAGATAGTTCACTATCATTTATAAAAGTAGAACATTGCGGGAAGACACATGCCTTTCCCAGACAGTAACAGCATCAACCAGAACAGATGCACTACCTGCTGTAAGGGTTTGTGCCCTGAACCACTGGAAATTTCTGCCTCAATCCCTCTACCTTTCTTCCTCTTTGCCCTTCTTCAGATCACACCTAAGACTTTCTTCTTCTACTGTGAGTCGCCTCCATTTTCTCCCCGACATTGTTGGCCAGGAGACTGGGAGAAACTCCCTTCTCTTTTATTAAGGAATCCTGTTAAGAAATGCCCCCAAATAAACCCCAATAACTCAAAAGAAGTGGGATGTTTTGCACAGTGCTAAGGTGCCATTCCCCTGCCTCTCACCTGTGAATCCATCAGTGTGATTGCTGTAGTGTTGCCAATTACTGTAGGATTTGGAAGCAGGTTAATATTGCAGATTTCCATCCACCAGGTAATGATGCAGCCACAATAACCTGGTACATCATTATATAACTGGAAATGTACTGACAGGCTTATTTTTTTTATTCTGGGCCATTCCATTACAAATTTTATATGTACAGAATATTGTAAATCATTGAATTTAAATGTGATATTCCAGAAGGTATTTGCACTGCAATTTCATCGTTCACATAAAACAGGAAAAATTATTTTCACTCAACCAGCGTTACTGAATCCATGGTTCAAATTGACTATTAACGAACATGTTGTATTGACCAAAATATTATTTAAGAATGCATTTTATTCATTGAGTGACGGTGATATTTCTCCTTGACTGAAACCTGATAGATAACATGTGATGCTGTGGGGTATGAAATGGAGGTCACAGAACTAGAAGCAGCGCAGTCAGTGTTTAATCTGTGGTTACATCATTATTTTTCGAACTCAATGGATTAATTTAGAAATAGCGGCACTGGTGATGAATTTAAATCGTATCTAATATGGGCGTGATTATGTGAGGAGGGAGCTTTAGTGATTGTGTATTCTTTCCATTCAGTTTTTGAACCCAGAGTTCAGTAATTCAGGAGACTGTATTCAGAGTATTTTTATTCTGTATATTCGCCCACAATTATTCAGTCAATTCACTTTACAGTGTATTCTGTGAAGCGCTTTGAGAAGTCTAAAAGACATGAATAGCGCTATATCAAATGCAAAGATTATTTTATTTATTTTAGAACATGACATGTATATAGAGTAAATAAAGACCATGGCTTTACTTTAATAATCATAATAATAATCTATGGATTTGGTATAACACCGTTCGTACAATACAATACAAAATTGTAGGAGGACGTCCCAACGTGCTGAACAGTCAGGGATTTGGACCGAGCTGGGGGTCTAAAGGGTGGAGGCAGGGAGGTGAAGTTAATGTGGGATGGAGTTTCAAAGGGTGGGGGCAGAAAGGCTGAAGGCTTGACCACCAATGGTGGGGCAGGCCAGGCAGGTAACATTGAGCAGTCCAGTTGATATGGGGTCACCAGTCGCAGAGGTAGTAAGAAGCAAGGCCGTGGAGGGCCTTGAAGGCGAGGACTAGGATTCTGAACTCTATCCTCTGGAGGATGGTGAGCCAGTGGAGCCCATTCATGTCCGAAGGACGTACCAAAGCCCTTCATAGTATTTACTGCGGATTGACTGTGTACTTGTAGGCAAACGCAGCAGCCCCAATGCACATAGCAGTGTCCCAACAAACAGCCATAAAATTAATGACCAGTTTTATTTGGGGGAACGTTGGCCAGGACACCAGGAGAAACTCCCTTCTCTTTTCGATTAGTACAATGGGATCTTCAAAGTCCACCTGAACAGGCAGATGGGACCTTGATTTGACATTTTATCTGATGGATGGCATCTCTGACAATGCAACACTGCAGCACTGCATTGTCAGTTTGCCATCTTAGACAATGTGAGTTCAAAGACAAAACGTGGGGACTTGGATATGTAACCTTCTGACTCAGAGGTGAGAGGGCTACCAACTGACAGGACTTGGAGCTCACTGTCCCGGCTGACACTTAATGTGGTGCTGGGGGTGCACTGGATTATTGGAAATGTCATTTTTAAAACAAAGTGCCTGTTCAGGTGGACTTTAAATAACTCACGGCACTGCTTAAAAAGAGAAGGGAATTTCTCCTAATGTTCTGGCCAACAATTCTCCAGATATAATTGGTCATTCACTTCATGACTGTCAGACATTGCTGAGCGCATATTGGCTGCCACATTCATCTAGAAAATCTGTGATTTCTATGGAATGTTTTGAAATATTCTGATTACAAGATAAGGTGATATATGAAATGCATGAATGATTATTATTATTAATAACAATTTGGATGCTGGTTTTCTTCAGTTCTTAAGAAGAACCGGCTTCCAAATAACCTGAAGAATTTTCCACAATTCCACACAATCTGAAATTTCAGATCAGGTCCTTCAGGATGTGACTGAGTGGAATTTTGAGCCTTTACTGTTTTATGCATTACACCCTGGGCTCTAATTTGCAATGCTCACAAAAGATGTAAACAGAGAATCCTGCAGGTACCTGGATGTGCATTCAGAAGCCAATCTCACTTTCATTTTTCAATGAAACATAAAAGGAGGCTTTCATTTACTTTTTCATTATTTAAATAGTACTGGTCCGAGCTGAGAAAGTACTACACTACATGGCTATACTCTTCACCTCTGCCAAATCAGGACTCCTGGGTGCATTGATACATCAATGAAACTGTGCCGTTTTTGGTGTTTGACTTGTCATGCATGTAGCTACGTGATTCAAGATATCCACGAAGTTCACTTCTTACTGGTAGCTTTCACTGGTGAATTTCTGCATTTCATCTTATTCCAGAGTGGATGAGTGAGCAGTAAGAAGAGCCATTCTTCTGAACAAGCAAGTACATGGGATGAATGAATTCCTGGAGAAATTGAACACTGTCTCTTCTCCTCTGTCAGGTTGATTTTGATGCCCAGTCTTTGAATTCCAATGACGTTTTCGTGCTCAAGATACCAAATGCTGCCTATATCTGGGTTGGAAAAGGAGCGAGCTGTGAGGAGGAGGCAGGGGCCCAATACCTGTTGTCTGTACTAAAGTGTCAGGCGACCAGTATTATTGAAGAGAATGAACCAGGTAAAGACCTGAAAGAAGTATATATATATATATGAAGATCATTTCTGTAATTTTAATTGTGTCCAATTGATTTCTACCCATTAGCATATGGCTCTCTGCTCCTGGTCCCCTGCCTCCTCATGCTGGCCTACAGTTCCAAAGGCATTCATTGCCCACCTGTAAACCATCCACGTGACCTTGATTTATGTGTGTGCCTTGGCACTGAAGATCGGCAGGCTAACCTAGTGTAGAGGATGTCACACTGACCATGGCATATATTCCCACTTTCCTGCCACACATGCACACTACTAATAGAGAATGCTGAAGAGGGAGCAGGACCAGTAAACCAAACTGATTTTAGCCTCTCCAATCCCTGGGAAAAGCTTTGGATCAGTGTGCTCCAGATCCGTAAACTGCAGGTCTATCCATTATCTTTCAAAAGGAACTAGCTAAATACCTAACACAGAGTAAATAACAGAAATATGGAAAAAGGCACAGAAATACGACTGAACGAATTGCTCCTAAATGAGCCAACACGTACACAATGGGCCGAATAGCCTTCTGCTATGCTGTAAATTTCTATGATATTGATACACCATTGGAGCTGCTCTTTTAGATTTTCTCTGTAGGCTTCTTTTTTAAAAGTGTCTTTTTTTAAAAAAATAATATTTTATAAATAATTACACAAGTGAATTATTTTTACATTTCCTGTCTGGCAGCAATAGTGGGAAATCCCGTCAGTGATCAACACTGCAAAGGCAACGTGTCAGGCACTGAATAGAATTTTTACTCATCAATCTATTAAAAAATGCTAGGCTAATATGAAAAGTCTTGAATCAGGCTGCCAATTCAGTTCTGAATCACGTGGAGGGAGAGGCTATTCTGCAGGAGTCAGAGGAGCCCCAAAGCAGGAATTAACATGAAACAAAAATGACCACAAATTCTGCCCTAGTGAATATTTATCACATGACATCCCTTAAATTCCTCCCACCACCACCACCTGCAGCTACCCTGCCCCATGAATAAAAATGAAATCCTTTGTTTGTGAAAGGCTCTGCTTTCCTGCAGCAGTTAGTTCTGTTTGTTGCCCCAGTTGGCCTTCCAAATCATTTATTTTCAAAGTAAGCAATGAAAACTAAAAATGTAAAAATAATAATCCTTACATTTGATTCAAAGATCGAATAAGTCTTTGAAAAAGTCCTTTGCAGGATACACTGTAAAGTGATGCGACTATTTTGTGGGGGAACGCTTACTAATAATTCAGTTTATTAATAACCCAGTTCGTCAATTTTCTTTTTAATATTGGGGAACTGGTAGCCTTTGCTTTCCTGTTCTCGCGCACAATCACTGAGCTGTTTCTGCTGTTGGTTTATGTTCTATTGATGTATTCTCACAACATCTTGCCAGTGTTGTCAAAGGATTTTTTGAACCAACCAACCTTTTCCTGAGTTCCAAAATGCAATATCAATATCACTTTCATTTTGTAAATGTCGGATTACAAAACTAAATGGCAAACTGGCAGAGTTCGAAAAGTTGGATGAAGTGGCTCGTGCTGCTGTTTTGAGATGCACGCTTATGTGAAATAATAATAATAATAATATTTGATATAGCGCTTTTCACGTCGGGAGGACGTCCCAAAACGCTTCACAGAACACACTGTAAAGTGAATCGACTGTATATTTGTGGGCGAACGCAGCAGCCAATTGCGCACAGCAATGTCCCACAAACAGTCGTAGATTGAAAATGACAATTTTTTTTTATTATTGTTTTGTTTTTTGGAGGGATTATTATTAGGCGTGTGAAGTAAGGAAACTTGCCCAAGGTTTCGCCCTGCCTGGAATTGAACTCAGGTCTCTCGCTTGTAAAGCGAGTGCTCTAACCACTGAGCTACAGGACTCCACATAATAATTCTTGCATTTGATATAGCGCTTTTCACGTCTTCCAGGTGCTGTTTTAATGCAAGTTGGTGTCACAAAAATCTGCAAAATCATGAGATATGTTCTCGAAAAAGCATAATGACAGTCAAAGACAGTGCAAGGAAAAGAGAACTTAAATGGTGCTTTCATAGGGCTTTAAAATGCCAATGTACTTTAGGTAAACCTGCAAACATTTCAATATGTTATGAGAATGCCAAATGTACTTCACCAGAAGGTAGTAAATATAAAATTGATTGAGGCATTTAGAAGGGAGATAGATGCATAGTTGGGAAGTAAGAGCATTAAGGAATATGGAGGAAGAGCAAGGAAATGGGATTATGTACAAAGAGCAGCCACGATCTAATAAAAAGGCAGAACGGACTTGATGTGACAATTGGCTTATGCCTGTTCCTGCATTCCTATGAACAAATTTGAAGATCATTTTAATGTGTATATTGATACAATAGTAGGATAGGTAAATTGGCTGTTATGTTACATTTCATTCCAAAATGAGGGGGCATACCATATTAGATTGCAAGTAACCAATCTAAATCAGAGTTTAGGAGGGACGTCTTTACTGGAATGGGGACCTCACTTATGTAAGTTGTGTTTCAAGCTGAAAAAATCAATTTGTTTGAGGGGAAATTTAATGCATGCATGAGGGAGAAGGGGGGATTGGGAAAAGTGGAGGATCATACGGAGTATAAACATTAGCATGGACTGAGAGCAAAATGGTTTGTTTCCATGTTATAATGCCTTATGTAATTCTATTTCTCTGCTCCTTCTAAAACATTTTCATTCAATAATAATTTAATAATAATAATTTATCTGTCAGATGACTTTTGGAAATCGCTTGATGGAAAGAAGGAATATCAGACATCAGCTCTGCTACAAAGCGGTAGTGATGACCATCCACCCCGATTGTTCGGGTGTTCGAATAAAACTGGACGGTTCATTGTAAGTTATTTTCTTAAAATCAGATCAAAATGTGTTCATATAAAACCAACGTGTGTCAAGTTACCTTTATATAAAATACTGTGTGGTAACTATCAACTAAATCTGACAAAAGATTGACTAAAGCAAAGTTCATCCACCTGAAGTCATTAGTAACTTGGAGAATCACAGAGAAACAGATGCACTGCATACAATGTCATTCCTGGAAGCCTAGGATTGTGTTGTACAGCTGTAAAGCCTGGCGTGAGGGAATCTTGGACATAACCAATTCCATTGAGTCATAAATACATGGGATTATATTTTGATCACACTACCATATGAATGATATTTGAGGATAATTTTCAAAAAAAAATGTCTTTAGTGCAAATAATAAATTGTAACATGTACTTCATTATTATTCTGTGTTGTGATATTAAGTTATGTTTTACTTTATATTTTCTACTTCAGATTTCTCTCCAATTTTCTCCTCTTCGCTCCTGTATATCCCCTTGAGCTGGGTATTTTAGCAACACTTTTGTGGCCCTCGATCCCAGAACCAGGTTTCCACCCTCATGTAAAAGCCTGAACAATGAGCGTTGTTGGGTTATAAGACACCTGTGGCCCTAAGGCCTGAGATCTGTCTTGGAACTACGAGTAATTTCAAGCCTTTGTCCACATGTATGCAGTCTTGAGAGAAGACGACTCAAAGGGGACCTCATAGAAGTGTATAAATTTTTAAATGGGAAAGATAAATCCAGAACAATAATTTAGTATGCAGCAAGACAACTGAACAAGAGGACATAGGTTTAGAATTGCAAAGGGCAAATTCAGGCTGGGGGGGTGGTGAGAGTAAGCGGGGTCTCCTTGGAACTGAGCTGACTCCAAGGCAACATGCCTGACACAAATGTCGGATTGAGTCAACCCTCAATAGTGCAATAGTCCAGTTCCTGAGCCAGACAGGTCCACAGTACATCAGGGCACCATTGATAACAGATCATTGCAGGATTTGAAAGGCAGACGAATCATTGATACAGAAATTCATTCCGTTCAGCTCCTGTTGAAAGGTGACTCAAATACAGGTAGTTCAAACTATAACAGTTTATGCAAAATTCCAGTTCGTGATGTTACTATTTTATTATATAGTGCTGGGAATGTACTTTACATTAACGTAGTAGTATTGTGGTGTGAAGACTCAACATGCATTTTGGCTTTTCATCAATAACAAATACTCTGCCTGGATTTCTGGACTCAAACAATTTGGCAAATTCTTAAATTCAGTCTTGATGTTGATGTTGGTTTTCTTAAACAGACCTAGGGAAGATCAGTTTCAAAACTAAGATTATATTTAAGAATTTGCCAAATTTTACATGCTCTGTCTGAAATGCTAAGAAAATAATGCAGCAATTCTACTCCTTCTGCGCCAAACCCTTCCCCCCACCCCCATATTAATGATAACTTTTTGTTGCTTTCAGATTGAAGAGGTACCGGGCGAATTCACACAAGATGACTTAGTTGAAGATGATGTCATGCTGTTGGATGTTTGGGATCAGGTTTGACAAAATGTTTATACATTTATATGTCAATATGTTTATTATTATTTGGGTGATAACTATCAGCAAAATATGGTAATCAACTTCCCCTTAAATTGGCTGGCCTTCAGCTCATGCACTGTCATGCTAAAATAAACCCTAATAATGCTACTCAAGGGTAGCCAGGAGTAGCTTTATTACTGCAAAATTAATTGTGTATGGCAGGTTTATGGCAAACTGATCAGATACATATAAGACCTGAATAGTTCATTTCTCCTCCCGTATAATTTCCCTTTTCCAATTCGCTCTTCCATACAATATTTTACTCCCTTAGCTTTATTTATAACAAATCAAGNTTTTTGAAAGAAAAGTAACCATAACAACAGCAACTTGAATTTATATAGTGTCTTTCATGCGGGTTGGCATCTTAAGAGTGCTTAAACCATAATAGTACTATTAGAGGGAAAATGTAATAGGTGGTGTAAAAATTATCACTGTGAAAATGATCACAAGAAAAGAAAACGTGTGTTCTTAAAACCTGCCCATAATGCCATTCTGTCCATCTCTGACCAGGGCTCCTCATCCTTCTCGATCTTTCTGCTGCCTTTGACACTGTGAACCACTCTATCCTCCTCCACCGCCTCTCCTCTCACCTTAACCTTCAAGGTTCTGTCCTTGAATGGTTCAGATCATATTTCTAATTCTACAGTTGAATGTCAGCAAACCAAGGCCTTCCCAATTGGCTCGCGCCAGTGCCTCCGCACCTCAGGCACTGTTCGACCATCAACTGTCCTTTCTCCCCCACATCCATGCCATGACTGGCTCTGCCTTCCCCCACCTCCGCAACATTCCCCGACTCTGCCACTGCCTCACCCCTCGAGCCGCCGAAACCCTCATACATGCCTTCATTACAACCAGGCTCAACTATGTCAAAGCCCTGGTCGTTAGCCTTCCCAACTCTTCCCTCCACAAGCTGCAGATCATCCAGAACTCTGCAGTTTGTGTCCTCTCCTGCATCAGGCTGTGACCCCATCACACCCACCGTTGCCCGGCTCCACTGGCTCCCCATCCCTCAGAGGATTGAGTTCAAAATTCTCGTCCTCACCTTCAAGGCCCTCCATGGCCTTGCCCCCTTTACCTCTCCGACCTGCTAACCCCTTATCAACCTGGCCACTCCCTCCACTCAGCAGGCTCCAGGCTGTTCCATAACCCCCACCCGGCCTGCCCCACAGTCGGCGGTCGGGCCTTCAGCCTCTCTGCCCCCACCCTCTGGAATTCCACCCCACATTCCCTTCACCTCGCTTCCTCCCTTGCCTCCTTCAAGGCATGCCTCAAGACCCTCCTCTTCAACCGTGCCTTCGACCACCCTCCTACCCCCACCCTCCCCGCCCTCCATCATTCCTAATCCAAACACCCCCCACCCACAGCCTCCCCGCTCAGGTCCTAATCCCTGACTGTTCAGCACCTTGCAACGTCCTCCAGACATGAAAGCCACTTTACAAATGTAATTTTGTATTGTATTTTGTATTGTAAAATGACAGATTTCAGAATAGCTGTCATGTTACATCTAGAAGATCTTTCTCACTTCAGTTTTCTTCTCTTGTGAAAGTGCCGGATTTTACTAGTGTCAGCAGAAAGTCTGTGCCTTCACATGTAAACTTCAGCTGTTTGACCATGGCAAGGGACATCAGAGGCTTCTGTCCTCACTCATACTCTTTACAACAGGGGATATTGAATTGTGATCAGCACTGCGAGCTGAATTGCTTTTACCCCTCCCTTTGTCCACTGGCAACTGTAATAGACCTATTGTCCTCTGGTTAAGGCCAACTAACATAACAGGAACCGGCTCCAAGGTGATATGCCTGGCAATGGAATGTCGGAATCGAGCCAGCTCTCTGTGGTCTTGGTAGATCGGTTCCTGAACAAAGGGGTCTACAGCATTTCAGGGGACTGCTGATGATAAGACATACAGTCTGGCTCATTAGCAGGACCTGGAAAGGCAGACCAGTCACTGGGGGCAGGGAGTTATCTCACTCAGCTCCTGTTAACCCTGCAAGCAAAACCCTTAATGGGTAGGTTGGTCCTAGCTGGACAAGCAGCAGGAAAGCTTGCCAGATAGCAACATCAATGACAAACTATGATGTTTTAGCCGGTTACACTCCAGCAGTACCCCAACGCACACTCTGGGGTCCCCAAGTTTGGCTCTTGCCAACCTGCGCCTAATACTTTTCGGAATTAGGTAAGCAGGATGCATCTCTCCAGGGAGAGTGTGCATTCTATTCCAATAATCTATCTCTGGCATTTCCATGTGTAAGTGGGATGTATGGAAATCTCAACTTGGTTTAGATACTGTTAAGCATGGTGATGCGTTTCAGCATGTGTCAGACACCCGACTGACCCCTAAAAAAATAACAACACAACCTGGGTTCTCTATGGCTCAGTACATTTACCCATTGGAGTCATCAAAAGAGCTTTGGGAAATACATTCACTGTGAAATGCTTTATAGCTTCATTTGCCTCTCTCTATTGCAACTGTACTTGAGAATAATACTAAAACCTATTAGAAAATGAGGCAGAGATGCTATAAAGGAAGTGTTTTTTCCTGTTCTGTTTATGTCTAGGTATAGATATGGAATATGTATGTGGAAATTGTTATTCTTTTTGAAACAGCATGAAACAAAATAATGGCAGTGTCAGTTAACTAGGTGCACAAAATCATTTTTAAAGAAAAACTTTCATGTTTAGGTGTTCATCTGGATTGGCAATGAGGCTAATGAAGTGGAGAGAAAGGAATCAATAAAGAAAGGTATGTAACCATCTTTCCTCTATTATGTACAGCAGTGAATATCTAAGAATTAATATTACGGTGCAAATCCTATTTATCAAAAGTTATGTTCATTAAAGCATTGACCAGTGTCAAAAGGGTTCAACTGACCAAGCCCCTTGTTTTTATCCTTGTATTCAGCTGCAATTCCCCAACTGTTGTGCACCCTCCAGTACATTGTCCAAGTAACAATTATTCACATGTAAACCTTGACAGTGAGTGTTGACAGGTTAATATTTAACTAACTCATGTGAATGGGGCTCAAAGCAGCTAATTAGAGTGAAGCCAGGCCCTGACCTGGTTCACCCACACCCGTTACCAGAAGAGATCTATGGAGAGCAGACAGGGTCAAAACAACAGATTGATCTGTCGGTTGCTGAAAGCCAAGTGCAATGCCCTTGACTCCAACTGAGATCAGCGAGCATGATATAAATGGGATTTGAAAATGCAACCTACCCGTCTGCATGGTTTAGTGGTGCACACAGGATGGACAACATCTCTTAATCTATAAACCATTAGAGGAATTCATAAAAAAAATTAATTCCCCAGTATGAATTAAATAAATTATTACTTGGTTAACATGTTTAATAATCTCAATAAATTCTTTTAGTTTATGCAAACTACTTAATAAAAAGCATGTCAAAGATAAATGCACATACAACATTGAGTTAAGATAATTTCATAGCATTCAGCGACATGTGTGGAGCTGTAACATCTTTTGAGGCGGACAAAAAAAATTATATTGAACAGCAGGGTCCTAGACTCACTAAGAACAATATCAGCTTCACATTAAGTTCCTTGTGGAAATACCTCTCGCTCCAAAAGATAGAGGAGGCGATAAAGTGAAATGAAAACTAGACACAATCATAACAAATTATTTTTTTTCTGTCCAGGGAACAACAGTCAAATGGAGCTGAAACACAGTACTTAAGTGTATTGATGGCTAATGGTTGTGTCTCAGTTACTAGTGTTGCCATCTACATCTTATTTTAAGAAATTTGTTACACCAAACAGAAACAGTTTAAGGAAGAGGGGAATGATAATCAACCCTAAAGAGCTGAAGCTCTAAGTCTGGAATTATAAGATGCTACTGTATTGTTGTGAAAGGTATTTATCATACAGCAGCAAATCCTACCTCCAATTTGAAAGAGCAAACTTGCCTTTTTCAATGAGAGCCAACTAATAAGACTTAAATTCATCGGCAGAAGTGGAATACTTAAAATGTCTCAGGGTGAGCAGTGGACAAAATTCAGAGTAGCTAGAATACTGTTGCAGGTTCAGCAAAAAACAGGGCATGTATATGCTAAATGGTAGCATATTTTTTTTTAAAAAGCAGAGAAATCTAGGGGTTAACATACATAAATTGTTACGGATGGGGATACAGATGGACACATCTATGAAGAAAGCTAATGGGATCTTGTATTCAATAAATAGGGATATAGAATATACAATATATTAAAAAAGTGATGTTTAAATTGAATAAATTGTTGTTTTAGACCACAGATAATGTATTGTTTCCAGTTTTGATCATCCCATTTTAGGAAGGATGCCAGGGCAGAGGAGATTTACTCGGATGTTTCCTGGGATGAGTGTTGTACCTTCTCTCACTTTCATTAAGGCCAGCATAATAGACAATAGAAGCAAAGCAACATTTATACTACTTGCCACACAATGTATAACAGTAAACTATTTTATTTTCCTAACAGCAAAACAGTACATTGAAACAGATCCATCCGGAAGAGACGGAGGAACTCCAATCATCATAATTAAACAGGGATATGAACCCCCAACATTCACAGGCTGGTTTCTTGGTTGGGACCCAAGCAAATGGACTGGGGATCCCACAAAGATAGCTATGGCTTCACTGAAAGTGGCATAGAAACTAACCAGGTCCCATAAAAACTATAACTTGACATAACTTTCCAAAAGCAAACATTTATTATACTAAATATGTCCAAATTGCAATTTAAAATTTCTGCCTGATTCAAATGTAACGCATTCACATCATGCTTTAAAACATCTGCTGGTATCATGTTATTTGGCTTTTTTTGACTCATGTAACATTTGTAATTTGTAATGGGGTTTAAATAATAAAGGTAATAAAGCAACAATAAGCATACAATTTTAATTCTATCAGTAGTGTCATGTAGACTATAAGTATCAAAGTTAGATTATGCATTGTCATCTAAAAGTTCCCTTCATTGTCAGTACAAATAAAATGAGCTAATGTTCTTGTATATTAAAAACAATAACTTGCATTTACATAGTATCCTTCACACAAGGTAGCATCTGGAATATAGTTGTTTAAGTGACCAATTTATTATTATAATTTTTTGAAGGAATTATTACCTCCATAAAAGTGATCCGCCAATCGACTAACAATGGGGTTCCTACTTACCGCTAGTTAAACAGAGGCATGTAGAGTAAGGAAACTTGCCCAATATTTCGCCCTGCCGGGAATCAAACCCAGGTCTCTCGTTTGCGAGGCGAGTGCTCTAACTACTGAGCTACTGGACTCCAGATGGTGCTGAATAAGCCTGGGTCAAAGTATTGGACCTCTACAACAATAATTTATATAACATCATTCACATGAGTAGCGTCTTAGAGTGCTTAACAGAGTGCTTGTGGTTTAACACCAAGCGAGAAAGAGAGGGAAGGTGGCTGAAGGCACGGTCAAAGAGGAAGTCTTCAGGTGTGATTTGAAGACTGGCAAATTCCTGACTGTCCAGCACCTTGGGACGTCCTCCCGACGTGAAAGGCACTTTACAAATGTAATTTGTTGTTGGCAAAGAGAGGGCAAGACTGAGGGATTGAAGCAAGGAAAGAGTTCAAGAGATTCGGGGCATAGTGGTTGAAAGCACAGCTTCCAATGGTGGAGAGGGCGAGGGATGTACAGAATACCCGAGCCAGCTGAGTTAAAATGTAGGTACTGGAGTGTGGTGTGAGCAGATCAGAGCGGTAGGGAGGTGCCAAGGAGTGAAGAGATTTGAAAGTGAGAGTGAAGATCTTGAAAACAATCCATTCTGCAACAGTGGAGACGGCAAGAACTGGGGTGATGGTGTTGTGAAGCCTGGTAAGGGTGGCAGAGTTTTGTATCTCTAGCACCTTGGAAACATTAAGATTTCTGGCACAAACTGTGCTGTAAAGGTCCTCCTGTCATACTAAAGGCAGATGTCCATCAGACAACTGATGAGGAAACTGAGGCTTGGGCCAACAGCTGCTGGAAGGTGTTACCTGGAGCCCAGGTTGTGAATATAGCCAGAGTTTGGAATCCAGCTTTATTGGTATCCAGAGAGGTAAGAAGATGTTGCTCAAGCTTTGCACATCCAAGAAGTGGAAGCATCGCTCAATAATCAAATACCTGTGATTTGTCACTGAAAGAGCTCAAGTAGCAGTGATGATATTTTGGTGGTGGCTTATACCAGTTGGGCATTCACTTTCACATCAACAAAGTATGGATCTGTGGTCTGACTATGAGGAACTCTAAGAGGATGTAAGAGATATTCGCAAGAGAGATTGGCAATTAAATTGCACATCAGATGAAAGAATCACTTTGGTTAATATGTAATGTTATGCATTACATCAAGATATATGTAAGATCTATTCTTATATACTACATCCCAAATCACTTATGAAGCTAGTCACTGTGCAAAGCAAAGCAGAAAGATAAATATCAATAGATTAAACAATTGCAATGAAATCATACGTCAGCGGTAAATTACAAATGTATTAAATGAGTCATGTGAGGTATCTATTTCACATGTAAATTACACAGTTTTTAAAAGAGGCAAATTCCAAAATTAGTAAACAATATTTATACATACAAGGGCTGAATTTCCAGGATTATTTAACACATTCCTCATACTAATTAATACCAGGAAAACATTTAGGAACATCTGCAAATGTATTGCTTACTTAAATAGTGTTGATGTAGTCTCCTCACTTAGTTATGAGCAGTGTTTCCGTTTTTTGATCTACAGTGTGCTCCTATATTCCAGCTGCTGGCAGCAACAGAATATACAGCTGGATCCATGGTCTGGATTATAGAAATGACAGTCTAGTTCCTTACAAAAGGACTGTAAACATTGGGTAGAGACACCACACCCTCCCCAACTTCAGTACAATTAGTGGGCCTGAAACTTCCACCAGCTATATCATATACTGAGAAATATATTTTGGTACAATTTCTGCCTTGTATCACTAAGTCATCATGACAACAACAACAACAACAAGATTCCATTTATAAGCGCCTTTCACGTCAGGAGGACGTCCCAAGGCGCTGCACAGTTGGGTCATGACCAGAGCAGGGGGGAATGGTCAGGGTGAGGGGAGGGAAGGGAGGGAGCGAGGAGGGGGGAAATGGTCAGGGTGAGGGGAGGGAAGGGAGGGAGCGAGGAGGGGGAAGAGAGTCGAGAGGGCATATGACACCTTTTCAGAGTGATTATGATACTTGATTCTGCTCCCTCTTTCACTGTTTAAAGTGGATGATCAGATCAATCATTTGCCATTGTAATAATAATAATAATAATCCTTGCATTTGATATAGCGCTTTTCACGTCGGGAGGACGTCCCAAAGCGCTTCACAGAACACACTGTAAAGTGAATTGACTGTATATTTGTGGGCAAACGCGGCAGCCAATTGCGCACAGCAATGTCCCACAAACAGTCGTAGATTGAAAATGACCAATTTATTATTGTTTTTTTTTGGAGGGATTATTATTAGGAGTGTGGAGTAAGGAAACTTGCCCAAGGTTTCGCCCTCTGCCTGGAATTGAACTCAGGTCTCTCGCTTACAAAGCGAGTGCTCTAACCACTGAGCTACAGGACTCCATTGTATACTGCAATCAGCAAATTGTCCCTCAAGGGCAGGCTGTTTTCTAAATAAACCTGTCACATTCTGTACTATCTAACCTGGTATCTGTGAATAGTATTCTCACTAAATCATACATAAATACAGTATTATTTTTCATCTGACAGGGAGCCAGTGGAGTTTGGCAAGGACTGGGGTAATCGGGGTTCAGAGTTTAGTGTGGGTGAGAATGCGGGCATCGGAGTTTTGGATGAGTTGAATTTTGTGAATAGTGGAGGAGGGGAGACTGACGAGGAGGGCATTTGAGTAGTCCAGCCAAGTGGTGACGAAGGTGTGGACAAGGGTTTCGGCAGCTTGTGGAGTGATGTATTGTCAGAGACGGGCAATGTGGCAGAGGTAAGGAAAGACCAGATTTGATTTGAAAGGCAACAACAAATTACATTTGTATAACACCTTTCACATTAGGAGGAAGTCCCAAAGCACAGGACAGTTAGGGATTTGGACCCAAGCTGGTGGTTGGGATCAGGAGGGGTGGAGGGCAGGGAGGGTAGGGATAGGAGGGTGACAGAATCACAAGTTAATAAATTACATCATTGTGACTAAAAACCCCAAAAGCCTGATACCCACCTGGTCTTAGCCATCGGCCTTCATTTTGGTCAGGTGTCTGAGACACATGCAAATCCACCACCAATCTAAAAGAGTATCCAACCCATATAAGAGTTACAGATATGCCTGCCACGCATACGCGGAAATTCCCTTCGTCTGGAATGGAATGCATATTCTCTCCCTGGAGGGACTTAACATAAATTAAGAGCCAAGACTTGATGATCTCAGATTTCACCACTACAACAACAACTTGCATTTATATAGCGCACTTCACGTGGAGTAGCATCCTGGAGCACTTGACAGTGTCGGAGTCTGATCCCGAGCCAGGGGAACAGGGAGCAGGTAGGTGACTGTAAGCATGATCAAAAACGGTCTTTAGATGGGATTTGAAAGTGGAGGGCGGGGTCAAGGCGGAGGGATTAAGGTCCAAATTGAGGTCCACCTAGCTCTAAATTCCAGAGCTTCGGATTGTAGTAGCTGAAAGCACGGCCACCGATAGTGGAGTGAAGGGGGAGAGGGATGAACAAGAGGCCGGAGCCGGTTTAGCAGAGGCAGCGGGTGGTAGAGTGGGGGGGTGAGCAAATCAGATAAGAAGGGAGGTGCGAGGGAATGAAGGATTAAAACGAGTGAGAGGATCTTGAAGTCGATCCGTTTGGTAATTGGGAGCCAGTGCAACCTGGCAAAGACTGGTGTGATGGGGGACGCCATGGAGTCATCTTAACACCGAGGAGAACCCATTTACATTAACAACTCCCACGCCAGAAGGATAAGAACCTTCAGTCCATTATTGTAAAATTTAAGATGATGCAGAAATTTGGAAAATGTGGAAGCCGTTTAAGAACTGTAGGAAGCTAGCTTGAGAGTAGGTCATTTCCAAATGAAATAAGGCATAGAGGATGTAGAGGATTTAATTATTATTTTCCAAAGTTCCAAATCGATTCAGGAATTGTATCAAAGGATTACAGGATAGAGATGAATCCTTGCATTCTAAATAATGTAACTCCATTATTCATGAAGAGAGGAAGAGATAAAGCAACTGACTTTAGGCCTATGAATTTTACAAAGACAGAGTAACTGGGCACCCAGATAAATATGCAGGATCAGGAAGCTCAGGAAGAATCAACATGGGTTTGTGAAGGGTACATCATGTCTCACAAATCTAACAGAGTTCTTGGACAGAGGTAATAAAGGGAGAAAATCAATTTTCAAAAAGCAGTTGATAAAGTGCTACCTTAAAGGTTATTTGCTAAAAGTAAGGCACGTGGAGTTGAAGGCAATATTATATCATGGATAGAAAACTGTTTCAGAGATAAGAGGCAGAGGGTTAGTAAAAGAAGGAATGGTGGACAATGACAAATCATGACTCCCCAGGGATTCAAACTGAACCCCACCAGGGTTTCTTCGCCTGACTCCTCTAAATTAATCTTAGCTTCACTTTGATATTCAGATGGATGTTAAAGATCCCATTACACCATTTGAAAAAAAAGGGAGTTTCTACCAGCCACCAAATAAACCGGTCACTAAATTCATAAATGTTTGTGGAATATTGCTGTACACAATTGGTTGCACATTTGCCTATAACAACAACAACTTGCATTTATATAGTGCCCTTCTTGCTGGACAGCGTCTTGGAGTTACTTAACAGTTTACTATACACTATACTTCACAGTGAAGTCCTATCAAGCGCTTTGAGACATCTCGCTGACGTGATAAGGTGCTTTATCAAATGCAAACATTATAATATTTCAATTGAATAGGCCACTGACAATGTCTAGGCTCATACATGAAGAATGGCTACTTAAGTAAAGCATTAATAAGCAACACCAGTCATTGAACTGCATGCCGGCTATGAATAAGTACATTCAGCACAGGAAACGAGAAATCGAATCACCAGGCCTGTGTTGGACTTACAGTTCGTAGACTATAGCTTTGACTGTTAGTTAATACGTTTTTAGTCAACTAAAACCTCAAAAACCGAATACCCTGCTAAGCGGTAGGTGAACTCCACAATCACTCGATGTCATGGACATGACTTCTTGGACTTCATTGTTGAGAACATCTATTTAATCTGGTGTCTTCATTGAAATCAAGCCCTTTCTTTCAAGTACTTGTCTCTTTGGTGAAAAATAGCTGTGAAGGGAAAAAAAGGTTAACACATAGAGATCATTCTGTACAACAGCTGTCGGTTTCATTAAATTATCATTTTACAAAATGGGTTTTTGTGACTAATGCAACTTCCTCCTGCGATTCAATCCTGCATAATCATATTAACCACAATGGAAACAAACACATTCACGATGAACCAAAGCAAGTAGTGCATGTCATTCTACATTATTAAGGGAAATCTAACAGATGAACATATTAAAAAAGACATTATTTTACAGTTAAGATAATAAAATCTGATTATACAGTAATAATTCTACATTGTGATAGTATTGCAACATTTGCCCTTTGCAAAAATGCAGGGCAATGTGATGCAAACAAGCTTTTCACAAACTATAAATAAAACTTCCAATGAAAATATCTTACTTGTACATTACGTTTGTCTCCAATTCGACTGAACCATTCAAAAGAGTTTTTTAAAAAATACTTTGTAAGCCAAAAATCCTGTCTGTAAACTTATGGATATTGTCCAACATTGCCATTATCTTCATAGTCAAGTATTTGAACAGTTTTGAAGATATTGATCTGTCTGAAGAAATTATACATTTTGAATTTTATAGAATGAAAGATCATAAAGTGTATTATTACATGTGTACATTCTTTAAAGGGGAAGATAACTCGGGAAAAGGGAATGAATGAAGGTTGCTAACCCAAATGTGTCTGCTGTCCACTTATTCCCTTATCTCATCCCTTCTTTTACTGAAATCCTAATTCATCACTTGACGAGTTGGAGCTTGATCCTCCACAATCATCCAAAATTTTTCAATCCCTATTCATTCCCACACAAAACTGCATAGACCCATCACTCCAGTTCTTATCAGGCTCAATTGGTTCCCAGTACCTCAGCAGATTGATTTCAAGATCCTTGTCCTGACTTTGAAATCCCTTTAAGGAACATCACATTTGATGTAAATCATTTTGACTATATTTTGATCAACATCCCAAACTCTCCCTTCTCTCTACCATGAATGTTAAGCACATTGAGAGATATTTCATCTAAATTAAATTTGGGTCAGCAACCTTCATTTGAGTTTCATACACTGTACCGTAATTCCTTTTTCAAGCAATCATAATTTAAAGTAGCCCATTTTCAGGATTGTTCCACAGAGCCCTGTAAGGATCCAGCTAGTTAAGCAATCGAATCGAAAAGATATAAAAAAAATCCAACACAGTGTTAGAGTGGGCATGCTCTTTTTTTAATATTATAGAAATGCCATTGGTTTATCTATTCCCTTTGGTTTCCCTACATATTTGTTAAATTACAAACTGCAGAATATCATTACCACAGTTTAAAAATGTTGTGGAATAGCCAACCCAACTGATCAAATTATTAGTAGTAAACATCTTTATAGGAGCTCAAACAAAATACAAACTATTGAAATGAAATATCTACCTAGTGGAGTCCTGTAGCTCAGGGTTAGAGCACTCATCTGAGAGACCTGGGTTTGATTCCCAGCAGGGCAAAACCTTGGGCAAGCTTCCTTTCTCCACACATCTAATAATTCCTCAAGAAAAAAATAATAAATCGGTCACTTCAATCGACGACTGTTTGTGGGACACTGCTGTGCGCAATTGGCTGCCATGTTTCGCCCACAATTATACAGGCAATTCCCTTTTTACAGTACATTCTGTCAAGCGCTTTGAGACGTCTAGATGATGTGAAAAGCACTATATCAAATGCAAGGATTATTATTATTACCTTTTTTTTAGAAGCATGCATGATCTGCGATTCACAACACCTAAGTGTGACCTCTCACAAGATTCTCTCTTCCTCTACTGACAGTATTTGGTTATTGTTTCCTTCTACGGGGGTACAGATGCCAATTGGCCCCTATTCATTCATGAGTCTTGGCAACATTGGCAGACTATTCGATCATACGTAGGAGAGGAAGTATTTGCATCTTCATCTGACATCTATACACAAGCATACATACCCAGCAGAAGTTTCTGGGTGGTGATCAAGAGGTAAATTGAGGTGTAGAAGCTGATTGTTGATAACCAGCTGCGATCAAGTAACAACATGGATATGGAACCTAGGAAGGACATTTTATTGTCTTTTTTCACACTAATTCCACACACTCCCCTGTTAATCTGCTAAAGCCTTAAAGGTACTCCATGGTCATTGTTCAAACACAATAGCCAAATTTGTTTCACATTTCAAATTGAATGAGTCCTTTGACTCCCAAATTTCCCCGAAACTTGAATTAATTAAAATCATTCATTTAGATCAGAGTTTAGCCTAGTGTGGGCAAACACTCACCTCCCCCATTGTTTATCTGGAGAGGCCTTTGAAAAGAGAGAAGAGGAACAACAACAACAACAAAATTACATTTATAGAGCGCCTTTCACGTCGGGAGGACGTCCCAAAGCGCTGAACAGTCAGCTGTTGAGGGCCGAGTATGGGGGAGGGGTGGTGTAGAGGTGAGGGAAGTCAGCGAGGTGGGAGGGAGACCAAAGGCACGGTCAAAGAGAAGGGTCTTGAGATCGGTCTTGAAGGATTGGAGGGAAGAACCGAGGCAAAGGAACTGTGGGATGCAGTTCCAGAGTGCGGGGGCAGAGAGGCTGAAACCCCGGCCACCGATGGTAGGGTGGGTCGGGCAGGAGACATGGAGCAGGCCGGAGCCGGCTGAATGGAGGAAGCGGGCAGGTTGGTAGGGAGTCAGCAGGTCAGAAAGGTAGGAGGGGACAAGGCCATGGATGGCCTTAAAGGTGAGGACAAGGATCTTGAACTCGATCCTCTGGGGGATGGGGAGCCAGTGGAGTCGGGCGAGGGTGGGAGTGATGGGGTCGCGGAGCCTGGTGCGTGAGAGTACACGAGTTGCAGAGTTTTGGATGATCTGCAGTTTGTGAAGGGAAGAGTTGGGAACGCCGATGAGGAGGGAGTTCCCATAATCGAGCCTTGAGGTGATGAATGCGTAAGCGAGGGTTTCGGCAGCCTGAGGGGTGAGGCAGTGGCAGAGTCTGGTAATGTTGCAGAGGTGTTGGTAGGCAATGCCAGTCATGGCGCAGATGTGGGGGAGAAAGGACAGTTCAGGGTCAAACAAGACAGGAAGTCTAAATGAGGAAAAAGAAAAGGAAGACAGAAAGAAACCTTTTGCCCACAAAATATACAATTGCCATACTTTATAGTGTGACGCGCTTTGAGACATCTTGATGATGTGATAAGGTGCTACATCAAATGCAAGTATTATTATTATTACAAACCTGATCCTCTTATTGTTTCCTGTAGGCATATAACATGTTACTTTAATTGGATTGAAAAAGTAAACCCAGATCAGTACATTAGTGTGTGACAAAACAGTATAACAGGAGGACATAGTTTGAGTTGTAAATGCAAATTTCAGAACAGATACCAGGAAGCTTTTCTTTACTCAGAGTAATCCACGACTGGAACAGGTTGCCAGGAAGGGTGGCAGATGCCAGAATATTGGACTCATTTAAAAAGCAGTTTGATGGGACAATAGGATGAGTGTTCTGGGAGGATGAGATCGAATTTCTTCAAGGCCTTCTTCATCCAAACCAATCTTGTGATTTTGTGTAGAAAAAGTACCGTAAACTTTTCGTTTTTTTCTATGTTTGATTAATAATTTTTTACTTACTACTTTTGGAGCTGTTGAGCCAGAGGTGGAAAGAAAGGGCCCACTGAACATTCACAGTAGTGTCTGTTTTAAATCAATGCTTTGTTTCCATTTTTAACTTGATTGAATATTTATGGCATAAATCAAGAAATATTCAATCAAGAACATTTGTTTTGTTTGCTGACCAAAAAGGTTGGCCACCACTGACATAGAGTGATACTCCACAAAACAGGACATTCAGCTCACGTCAGCGTCTCCACACCTCAGGCGCTGACAGTGGATCGCCATCCATGGTTGCACACTCCACCTTGCTAAGCCAGTCCAGAACCTTGGGGTCTTGTTTGACCCTCAACTATCCTTTCTACCCCACATCCGTGGCATGACACACTGACTTTCCCCAACTCCGCAACATCATCCAGCTCCACCACTGTCTTACACCACACGTCGCCTAAACCCTCATACACGCATTCAGAACATCCCGGCTTAACTATGCAAATTCCTTGCTTGTTGGCCTCCCTAACTCCTCCCTCCACAGGCTGCAGATCATCCAGAACTCTGCAGCCCGTGTCCTCTCCCCCACTAGGCTTTGTGACCCTATCACCCCCATCTTCACCTGACTCCACTGGCTTCCCATCACACAGAGGATACAGTTCAAGATCCTGGCCCTCATCTTCAAAGCCCTCCATGGCCTCACTCCCCCCTACCTCTGTAACCACCTAAACCCCTACTATCCTGCCTGCTCACTCCGTTCAGCAGGCTCTAGACTGCTTCACCTCCCCCCGTCTTGCCTGCCCCACCCTCCGGAACTCCATCCCACAGTCCCTCTACCTTGCCCCCTCCTTTGCCTCCTTCAAGACCCTCCTCATCTCAAGACCCTCCTCTTCGACCGTGCTTTCGATCCCTTCCCTCCTGCCCTACACCTTCCCCCAATTCCAACCACCAGCTTGGGTCCGAAACACTGACTGTCCAGCGCCTTGGGACACCTCCCAACGTGAAAGGCGCTATTACAAGTGTCATTTTTTGTTATATTTATGTAGCATTTTAGATCAGCAAGAAATTAGCAAGTTATTAGACAGCCCGAACTTTGAAGCCAGTCTTCCACAAGTTATTCTAAGATCTACAGAAAATGGACTTCTATTTTCATCGCTATTTTGTAGAGACTGAAGAGCCATTTCCTGGTGCTTTATTGTCGGCCAGGGTTAGTCTGAGCATGATTGCTTGTGCCTAAATTAACAGTGCAAGACACAAAATAAGCTTGGAAGGAGTGAAGTCCGGTGGAGCTGAGTTCATTCGATAAAAGGTTAAATCAGACAATTGTAAATTTGTGACAGTAACTAAATATGAGATTATAACAGGTAACTTCAACAAGATTACATTTGTATAGCACCTTTCACGTCCCAAGGGGTAGTCAGTGAGGTAGCTGGCACCTGTCCAGACATCATTGAACGAATGGCCTCTTTCTGTACTGTAAACACCCAATGATACCATCTATAAAATAATTTAAAATCCATTTCAAAATTACAACAGCTGCAGCATTTAAACAGAGCAACTATTTCAGCAGCAATGTTGTCCAAAAACAATTTCTCCAAAGGTCCTATCACAAGGACACAAAAGAGGTACAGGTGAAGAACTCAATCCCATTTTGATGTCATTCTTCCAGAAAACTCAAGCCACCCTCCTCCGATTACAGCATCAATTTATTTCTTAAATGAGTTGACTGTCCTAGCCTCAATTACCCTTTTTCGTAATGCATTACAGCTGCTGATTACTTTCATGTTGTCTGTCCTAAAATTGTCCTTCACAAACTTGAACCCTTGTCCTCTTGTCTTGGCAAATCTAATCATAAATTTACAGTCCTTGACATGGCATTGCATTTTATTCCTTGTGCTGCTATGAAAATGTACTGATATTGACAGTTTAAACTTATGATAGGATGAACCCATTATAAAGTCACGCTGCCAAAGTCTGTAAATTTACCAACCTTCAAACAATGACCATATACGTTCACTTCAACCACCTATTAAGCTCCAGGTACAGGGTATATAGGAAAAATAAGAGATAACAACAACTTACATTTATATAGCACACTACACTTGGGGTAGCATGCCAAAGACCTTAAGATAAATATAAAATAGGTTTGGGGAGTATAATAATAACAAGCACATGTTTTTACATTGTGTCCTTTGTTGGGAGAAAATCATTATTTCTAGAAAAAGAAAGTTATAAAATAAAACACCAATTCAATTTTATAGCAGGAGTCTCCAAATTTTGGTGCACCTCAAAATAGGACTGTTGATGAACTGTCAAATGAAGAGTATGGGCAAGGTACCAATGTCCCTGAAGAGCTCTCTCTACCCCAGCTGAACACAGCAAGTGCAATTGATTGCCACCAGTTTTATTTAACGCAATGAAAATCATGCCTGAAGACAACTTCCTACATTGATTGAAAATTCTTGTAACTTAAGGAGTGGTCGTGCAGAAACGCATTTAGAATAATGAATTCACTCCGTTGAAAGTTAAAGCAAAAGTGATAAGAATTGGTACGAGGAAAGAGAAAGATGAAACTGGTCTGTGTGCAATCTGTATTCAGTATTTTCTAATTCACACATTCCAATGTTCATTCAATTTACTGGTGACCTACATAGAGATGCAATAACAATCCGTAGCTCATTTTTATTTCTGATCACAGTAGGACCTCAATTTCCTTCTTGCTAATCACTTCACTGGGATTCAGATACCAGCTAACAGAACACTGACAATTTGTGGATGTATCCATGTAAATTTAAGTTTCGGAGACTTGAAAATTTAGGTCTTTTTTCACAAATGTGGGGAGAATTAAGGGGCAACTTCAAAGAGATATTCAATAATAATAATCTCTGCAATATGATATTGCATCTTTAAGGTTGAAACGTCTCAAAGCGATTCACAGATAATCGCTATCCAATGTAGAGACGGTTTATTTCTAGGCAAACCCGACAGCAAATTGTGGCAATTTATACTCAGCACGGTCCCACAAAGAGCCACGAGTGAATAATACATATATCTGGAGGGATCTTGATAGGGGGAGGAAAAAAAAAACTTTTTTCTCTTTTTGAATAGCGTCATGGGACACTAAAAATAATTTTGAAAACTGAGGAGCGGACATGACAGATGGTAAAATTAGGGGATACCTCGCCAGGGGAGTAGACATAATAAACATTTATACAGCACAAAAATATACAGTCAATTCACTTTACAGCCTATTCTGTGAAGCGCTTTGAGACGTCGAGATGATGTGAAAAGCGCTATATCAAATGCAAGGATAATTATTCATTTATTTATTAATGAATTAAATTGCACATTTATATTTACACAGCACCCTTCATGTCAGAAGTACATCCCAAAGCCCTGGACACCCATCGGGGGAGGTGCAGGAGGCCAGAGCTCAGCTCAGGGCGGCAGCAACTCATGTGGCTTCGTTAGAAAATAAAACAACATTTGCATTTATATAGCGGCCTTCACCCTGGGCGGAGTCTCTCTGCGCTTACATTCACAGCCCAATTTACCGAATATTCGCCCCAAAGTGGCCCGTTACCATGTGCTGGCTCCGGTGCAGCCCGGGCCTATTTAGGCCAGTGCTTTTGAAACTGTGTAAGAAAAGGTCTGTAGGAAGAGGGAAAAACAACAACAACAACAACAACAAGATTCCATTTATAAAGCGCCTTTCACGTCAGGAGGACGTCCCAAGGCGCTGCGAGGATTTGCGGGTTCAAATTCATTGTTTTCTTTTAATTTGGTGATATTATCATTTATTATTACTACAAGCCTATGGTGGGGGAAGGGGGGGTGGGTGGGGGAGGGGGGGGGTGGGGGAGGGTCTAATTGACCTGGTGGCGGTTACCCGCGGCCTCGCGCTGACGCTGGTTTGAATTTTGAATCAAATCCCCCGCCCCCACCCGCCAATCAGACGCCAGCCAATCAGACGCCAGCCAATCAGACGAGCAGATCCCGCGAGGGGGGGGGAGGTAGTGATGCGCCGCCGCGCGGGGTCGCCGTTGATCCGCTGACAGTCTCAGCTTCACACCTGCTGCCGTCAGCCTGCGCTCCCTCCCGGCAAACATTGACCTTGTCCGCTGGTAGGGATATCTTGTCTATTTTGCTGCCCAGCCGCCCGACGTTTGCCGACGGGTCCGGGTCTGTGCGATTAATTCGGATCAAAGCGAGTGAGGGCTGTGGAGCGCTCCCTTTGACTTCGCTTTAATCCTCATCTTCACGTGGTGACGCTGAATGGACGCCGTCTCCCGGTGATGGGGTGCGGGGGGGGGGGGCGGGGCAAGCGGAGGTGATTGGCAGGCGATGCAGTTCAATGGGCGGGGCTGGAGGGGGAGCCAATGGGCGGGGCTTCTGTGGGGAGCCAATGGACGGTTGTGTGGGTGGAGCCAATGGGTGGGGTCCGCAGCAGCAGTGGGAGGGCGGCTCTGAATGACGCAGTGGCCGCGCTCTCCGGGTCTCAGTGTTGAGTTGTGTGTGTCTCTGTCGCTGCATTGACGCCTCTCTCTCTCTCTCTCTCGCTATGGGGACTCGGCTCTGCTGCACTCGTCACGGTGAACCGCGATGCTGGTGAGTGCCCTTCAGTGTCGGGGTTCATGTCGGGCGGTCGTAACGTCAATTGATTTATCTCATTGGCAGATTCTGGTTTGGGAAGTTGGTGATTGTACATAGGGTTCACCCTCTCGCTCTGTGTGTGTGTGTGTGTAGTTAGATACATACAGACCTATGTACATAGGTGTGTGTAATGTATATGTATATATAGAAAGATATATGGTATACAGTTTTACGTGTTTATGTATATAAATGTTTCCTTTCCTCTGTCTCGAGATAGTCAGATTAGTGACTGTGTTTCTCTTTGCTCTGGGTCTGTCTCCCGAGCTGGCAGTTGCCCGTAGCCGGAGCCCCCCCCCCCCCCGAGCCGGAGCCCCCCCCCCCCCCGAGCCCCCCCCCCCCGAGCCGGAGCCCCTCCTGAGCCGCGCACTTGTTCACATTTCTTCCTCGCCCGTGGTTTTAAAGTGCCGGGAGGGTGGCGGCGGGGGGTCCGTGTGTAGAGGGCTCCGGGGCTGCGCTGCCGAGCCCACAACTTGTTGAATCGTACGTGTAACTTTGAACCCACGTCGTGTGCACAAACTTGTTATCTACCGCGCGGCACCGACGGAGGTCGTGATGCAGCACCGACCTGACCTGACCTGCCCGGAGCAGACTCCGGGAGGGTGGGTTTAAATGCAGTTTATATGCAAGGAAGGAGGAGGGGGTAAGTTGGGCGCAATAATAATAATAAAGAATATAATAATAATCCTTGCATTTGATATAGCGCTTTTCACGTCGGGAGGACGTCCCAAAGCGCTTCACAGAACACACTGTAGAGTGAATTGACTGTATATTTGTGGGCGAACGCGGCAGCCAATTGTGCACAGCAATGTCCCACAAACAGTCGTGGATTGAAAATGACCAATTTATTATTGTTGTTGGTTTTGGAGGGATTATTATTAGGCTCTGTGTGGAGTAAGGAAACTTGCCCAAGGTTTCGCCCTCTGCCTGGAATTGAACTCAGGTCTCTCAATAACAAAAAGAGCAAGAGCGAGATTGTTTTACTGCTTTTAGCCTCAGGGAGAGGGATTTGCAAGAACCTGAGCAAATGTTTCTGCGGATGGCGTTTGGAGCTACAGTATGTTTCCAATGGATGGATTTCTGCAGCTTCCCCGTCGCGGTGTGGCAGTTTATTGATCAGACTGTAACCATTGTGATAATAATATAAATAATATGCTGCAGTGCAAAAGTTGCACAGAAGTGTTTGGATATTTTCACGTTTCCTGCACCGTTTTAATTGGAATATAATAATAATAATCCTAGTGTTGTGGGAGGTGGATGTAATTAAGAGCTTTACCAACGATATGGCGTTGTTTATACTCAACTGTGCGGTGCTTTGTGAGGAAAGCGGTCGGTACGGTACATAGGACGGTATCGTATTTGCACGCTTTGCTGATTCAGGCATTTTAAATAACTGCTCAACAACACTCATCGATTTAGGGTAATGAATGGAGATCCGCCTTGTGATTTTGTTCTCTGGCCTGATAGATCACTTGGGGTAAGAATCCCAACAGTAGCCCAAACTGCATTTGGGAACCAATCCCATTTCTTAAATAATTAGCCTATTATTATTATATACAGGATAGCTTCAGTGCTGTATCTCACAATTGGAGCAAACTATTTTTTAGTACTTTCTCCAAAAATCGCAAGATGGTCAAACAATTTGTTAATTTGACGTTACTGTTATGGAGCTTTCAAGTCTGATTATCACTGTATAGTTGCACACTAACTAACTTATATGTAAGCTGTTTTTCTTAATATGATTTCATGCTCTCTACATTGTGTGTAATTGTGCATAATGTATGTTTTAATTCTATGTTTATCCAGGTGATATAGCTAACCTTCAGTGGATCTTCAAAGTTGCCAGACTGGGATGATCAGCAATCTTCTGAAATATTGAAACGTGTTTCAGTGTGGACATCTGCATTTTTACCTCTTAAGTACGAGATGGGTAATGGACTCTCAGATCAAACTCCTATTTTGTCAAACTTCCCTTCTTTCCAATCTCTCCACATTGCTATTCTGGGCCTAGACTGCGCTGGCAAAACAACAGTTTTGTACAGATTACAATTTAATGAATTTGTCAACACTGTACCAACAAAAGGATTTAATACAGAAAAGATCAAAGTGACTTTAGGCAACTCAAAAGCTGTGACTTTCCACTTTTGGGATGTTGGTGGTCAGGAGAAGCTGAGACCACTTTGGAAATCTTACACTCGCTGCACCGATGGCATCGTCTTTGTGGTTGACTCGGTGGATGTTGAAAGAATGGAAGAAGCCAAAACTGAATTGCATAAAATAACAAGGATCTCCGAGAACCAAGGTGTGCCTGTGCTTTTGATTGCAAACAAACAGGATTTAAGGAACTGCCTTTCTCTTTCTGAAGTGGAAAAACTGTTAGCATTAAATGAATTGGGTTCCTCCACCCCATGGCATCTCCAACCTACGTGTGCCATCATAGGTGATGGGCTTAGAGAGGGACTGGAAAAACTGTATGAAATGATCATAAAGAGGAGGAAGATGTTGAAGCAGCAGAAAAAGAAGAGATGAGTTTCCAAAGGCAGCTGACAATTCTTAGTATTTTTAAGAGCCAAGCTATTTCTACTCTGGTCTGTAATACTTTTGACAAAAAGATTTGCGTTTTAAAAAAAATGTACAACTAGTGAGACGTAAGGCACAATGTGCTTTTGAGATCAAAGTGGATGGGTTGGTGGAGGAGGTGGATATGATTTATGAAGAAAAGTTATACCAGCATAAAACTGGTGACATCTTTTTTATAGTTTGACTCACCAAACTATATTTAAAGTTCAACTGATTTAGTATTTTGTTTCATACCCTTTAGCCTTCTTACAATGTTCTGTTATTTTAAGTGTGTATTATGTAAGCCATATGTGTCCCTTTTTTAAGGCCTCAAAAACCTGTTACAGTAAAACATTTGTTATTTTTAGGTCAGTTGGGCACCAAAATATGCATGAGAACCATTGCAATACAAGGCATATTTCCCAATAGTACTGTAGTTGGAAGAAATGGCTGCTATAGATTGTATAGTTTGAAGAGATTATATACTTTTCTGTAATGGCGTAATATGGAAATTGCTCTTGTTTTTGTGTCCTTTACTGATAAGTTAATGAAGGCTACAGGGATACAGCTGATATTAAATAAGGAGACAGGCAATTAGTACTCCATTTAATATCATGGTTGTTGGCCTGCATTGAATCTATTACCTCAGTGGACAACGTGCAGTGTCATGACTGGTGATCTCTGATTGAGGGCAAACATGGAACCGCCGTGTTAAACTGACCTTGAAACTTACATATTGCAGACAATTTTTATTTGTAGATAGAGGAGTGTAGAATCACATGTTCTAGTCTGTCCTTTTTACTGATCTCATTAATTAGCTGTGAACCCTCATTTTCAAACAGTGTTAAGTAACTAGTTGACATGAGCAAAATGGGCTTTAGTACAGACTATACACTGTAAGGTAATATTGGCAAAACAACTAGATAATGCCTTCTTTGTCCACACATATTAGATTTAATTGTTGCCAACTAAAATCCACATCATCCAGCATTCATTCTTGTTATGGCAACTTTTGACAAAAATTGTAGCAGAAGAGGCAGTGGCTGCAATCTTTTTATAGCTCCATGTGGAAAAAATATATCCTATCATTTAAAAAAGCTAGAACATTGTGAAAGTCAGTAGATCTGATAGTCTTTATGTAAGATAGAAGTAGCCCGAGTGATGGGTGGTGTCTGTAACGAGGAGTTGGGGGCAATGTATTGACATACTTATTCCAGCTGAAAATCAGGCTTGCCCCGTTGTGGCACGGTATAGGATGGTACCACTACATAGAGTCCACTAAGAACCAAACAGATTGTATTGATATGATTTAGTATAATGCAGAGATGTGTGCACAAATTTGTAAAACCTTCAAAACTCCATAAAACAATCTCAGATTTATATTAAACTTGGCTGCTTTGTTTGAATGATCTTGCAAAAATGACATGTAAGACTACAAAGACCAGTACAAAGAATAATTTTATAACTGCAGTATCCAGTGCAAGTTTTTTTAACTGAAATTTGTGGTTTAATTGTCATTCTGTGTATGAATAAGTTGGAAAGGTATACAGTGTGTTTGTAAAGATATGATTTAACACTATGCCAACAATCGCCTGATTTTCGAATGTTGATGGTGCTCTTTACATTGTAACTAAAAGAAAGGCATAGGGGGAAAGTGGTCATTAGTTTAAAACAGTCAAAAGATATGACTTCTGTAGATTGAGTTATTTTCTGCCAATATGTAATTGACCCTAAGGAAGGGGACACATGACCATTGTGGATACTTTTTAGTGAGGATGTGGGATGGGTTTCTGTTTCCTTCCATGCCATCTCCACCTTAAAGGCAAAGAATAATATTACATGGTCTAATCAGATACACTTTCCTAGACATCCGTGCATAATACTGTAAACTATTTTCTAAGGTGCAACATGAGCAAAGCTATGATGTCATGGAGCCTTTGTGTTCCATACTTCCTGCTTCACCCTCCTTTCCTGCACCAACACCCTCACAGATTTGAAAACCTGGGTTGGGTGGGAGGGGCGATTAAGTTCATCTAAATACTACTGAGGAAGACTAAATAAAACATGTTCATTTACACACAAGTAGAAACCTGGACAGTACTCTAAAACAGTAATTCTGCCTTTCAGAGCTCAGAAGCGAGTTAAGCAGAACTTTACAGGATCTTGTTCAAGTTACAAGTTAAATAGAACTGTTCACTTCTATCGTAGTTGGCAATTCAAAAAGGCAGTCCCGATTGAACCCTGATCATCCTCCAAACATGAAAATGCAGACCAATCGACTTGCCCTTTGAAGTCTTATCTTTAACAGAAAAACATTCTATTATAATATGTCGAATTTCTAGCTCCAAAGACCTTGTGGGGCAACAAGAGCTCTTCTTTTAAGTGCTAAGACTGGGTGTCAATATTTGTTGCTGTACAATTTTCATTCTTTGTAAATATCTGCTCAAATATTTGAATTGTACAGTGATCTGAAGAAATGCACTTTAGTGTTAATCTTTGAAAATCCCAACAGCATTGTGTAAACTTTTTTTAATGGATTGGTTTTGAAGAAAATCCAATGACTTCTAATGGAACTATATTGGTCAGCTTCGTGTTTACCACCTGCACTAGTGGCATCATTGTCACTGTTTTGAGAATCTTTATATTTATATGTTAGGGATTTGTTGAACCTTAATAAACACAACTCTGCATAAATTGTGTCTGTTTTTAATCCATTTCCAGTAAATGCTTTGGCAACAATTGCAAAGGATGAAGAGTCCAGTTTGTTTTGGCAGCAGCTTCTAAACTTCTGTGCATTTTAATCTGTTGGAATTTGCAACGTTTTATATCACAAGCTGCAAATGGGTAAAAGTAAAAACTCGCCTTCTCACTTGTAAAATGCATCTCATCAGATAGTAGAACTATCAATTAATAGACTATAGAATAATGCAAACCCCACATAATATGAAGGAGAAACTAGATTATGCGTATCTCTTGACTAAATCTCTGCCAGTGCTATTACATGTGATTCTCATCAGTAGAATAGTAATGGAGAAGCACAATTAAAAGATGGAGATAAACATATCTTGCACTGTGCATTGACAGTTTCTACTGTATTACTGAAAGCTATATTGAGTTTATGGTGAGTATAAATTAAATGCTCTGACTTGTGGACTGAATTCAGTGAGTTTCTGTAGACTTTTTTGGTACAGTGTTGCATTGTAATATAAGCCTGTGGACACCAGTCAAATGTCTTATTTCCCAACTGACTGCCTGGATCTATTTCTATTTGATGAGATGCAAATTCCCATTGTATCCAACAAAGATGGTGAGAGACAACACATTATGAAAAAAAACTTGAATCAATGAGCTGGTAGTAATGAGTTTAGGTGATAGATTTTCAACAAATGCCATCTGGAGTTTTTACATCATCATATTGAATCTGGTTTGCCGCTGCCCAATGTTTGCTGTATACCGCTTGATAAAGTTGCTGCTCTTACCTGACAGTAAACATTTGCTGTAATTATAGCTTAAATGATCACATCTTCACATGAATCTTTTAAATGTGTTACATGTGGGTGGTCCAACCAGAGTTTCTTGAATCTATAGTATGGTTGTCCTATGTTAAGTGCTATAGTATGGCAGTCTGGTCTAAAATTAATGATTGCACAGAAATAGCACCGTCTCCAGCAAAATAGACTAATAACACTGACTGGGAACTTGTGCCTGATGTCATATGCTTGGAAGTCTGGCACAGCTAAAATTATATCTAGTACATGCTTATTATGCACATTTGATGATACAGTTTGATGTATTTGCATCCAACTATATGTTTAGCTGCTGGAAGAAATTAACTATAACTTTGGTGCAATAATGACCCTTCTGAAATAAATATACTTTGAATCTCAAATGCTTCACTTTTGTTGAAGCTTTAGCTAAAATTCAGGCAGTTAAAAGTGTCCTGTGTGCAAATAATATGCTCTTTTTAAAACTTTTTTTCCAGGAAAATATTTGAAACAGTTTTAGGGTACAATATATTCAAATCCACTCCCTGAGAAATCAATATGTTGTCTGACATTGAAGATAAGGTTCTCACTGGTACCAAACTCAGCCCAGTCCTTGCCATGTTCCACTGGCTCCCTATTGCAGAATGGATAAACTAAGATTCTCACAATGGCTTACAAATCAATCCATGCGCTTGCACCATGCACTTCTCTGACCTGCTTACACCCCTTTCCACTATCTGCTCCTACTCCAGTCTTCTACATGTCCTTCTGACCCTCCCACAATCAATAGCGGTGCTTTCAGCCACTGGTCCCTGAAACTGGAGCTCTGCCTCAACCCCTCCGCCTTGTACCCTCCTTACACCTGAAGACTTTCCCCTTTGACCATGCCTATTGTTGCTTCCCCAGCTTGACGTTGAGCTCTGCTACTGTTAAGCACTAACACGCGAAGCATAAAATATAAATGGAAGTTGTTAAAGTATAGTAGTCAGTTATTACGGTATATTGCCATGTTTGATATTAGATGCTTATTTTTTTCTACCACTTTCCCCATTTTTCAGGATTGATATTTCCTGAAGTTGATAAATTAACATTCAATTTACAGCTGAAAATGAAATGTATCTGCCTTGTATTGATTAAATGTTGATTGTGCTGAATTGGTTGGAAAATACTCCCATTCACGTAATACTTGCCAAGATGGGTTGTTATTCAATAAAAGATGCAAGCATTCTTTCATGACTGAAAAAATCAAGTCATAACCACACATTGATGTAACATTTCAAACTAGTTTTCGACTTAATGGGAGCAGCAATACATCTATAGAGCCTCTATTTGATGAGGTCACTGCAGATCTTTTAATCCCTTTCATCTCTATCTCCATATCGCTCAATATAATGTTTCACTTTATCATTCTACGGTATGTCTTAAATTATAACAAGTTTACGATTATTTAGCCCTTTTCACATTGCATTGCAAAGATGACTGGGAGCCCGAGCTGGGGTGGTGAGAGCTGAAGATGTTGGACAGGAGAGGGGAAGGTGACCAAACGCGTGCTCAAAAAGAAAGGTTTCAAGGAAGGCTTTCAAAGTGGGAAGGGAGGGAGACTTTGAAGGTGTGGGGAGAGGAGTGCTTCGAAGGTGATGCGAGAGGGAGGTTTTGAAGGTGGGTGGCGAGGGTGGGGGGACTTTGAATATGATGAGGGAGGAAGGGGGTATTTGACAGGAGAGGGAGGGCAAGGGAGAATGACTGAAAGCTTGTGAAAGGGACATAAAGCAGTCTGGTTTTCTTTGAGGGGAGGGAGTGGCTGGAGTTGTAGAGTTGCAGGAAGTTGCTCAGTTAGGATGGGGCCAGGCCAAGTATTTGAACCTGAGGGCAAGCTTCTTGAATTTGATCAGCTGGGCAATGGGGAACTAGTGGAGCCAAGTAAGTGAGGATGGGAGTGACTGAGGTCATGGAGCCTGGTTTGGGATAGGGCATGAGCTGCAGAGTTCTGGGTGGTTCGCAGCTTGAGTAGATTGAAGCTGAAGACATTTGAATAGTCGAGATGGACTTGATGAAGGCAAGAATGAGGGACCAATTGATTCTGTTATGTAATATGTAAATAAATTGAATTTCAGGGTTTGAAAAAGAAGTTTAAACATTCAAAATACGTTTTTAAAAAAGGAAAAAGTTTACACAATTTTAATCACCTGATTGTTTCACTTTTAATGGATTTTTTTTAGAAATATTGAGTTGTGGTGCCTGTTCATTTATACGTAAGTATTACTGCCATCACGTAAGTATTATTCATATCAGAAGTTACACAAATGGATTTTAATTAGTTCATTTATTAGATTTCTGAAGGTCTATTGTTGCTGTAATTTTTGTGAGTTCCAAGCTTTACATGCCTCTAAGTAACTCTTGGCTGTATTCGTCAAACCTTTTTTCTTAAAATTTCTTTGCCGGCAGAATGCAGTTATGAAAGATTTTTTTGACGAATATAAATCAAGCAAAATTATCTGTTCCTTTAACCTGTCTAAGATATTGCTATTGTTGTAAATCCGAATGGTATGATTAATGCTAAGGAATACCTATTATTCTGATGGGCAAATTACCAAATTTAAAAAATTCTTAAATCATGCAAAAAAATATTATGGCATAATCACCCACTTTCTCAGCTGGGTGTCTTGGTTTCAATGTGCCTGCAATTCACAACAAATTTATTGTTGATTTTTAGATGAATTGTATCAGATAAACCTCTATATAAACCATATGCAGTGTATTCTCCGTTCTCACTTTAAAGTGAAAGCTTTTCTTTTTAATGTATTTGGTCCAGGGTTGAGATGCAGGATCAAAAAGTATTTTGTGCCTGCATTGTGTTTATAACTACAGTAAAATATATACAATATCACAATATATTTTTATTTCACAAGCATATTTCAACTTTATTTTTAAGCAAACATGCTTTCAGCTTCTACAATGCCTCAATTGCAACAGCAACTGCCTCGCTTGAAACTCGTCAGTACAGAAACAGAAAGGTTCCAGGTTTCAATTTTGATCTCGGTTGAGGTAACTGACTACTGGGATAGCAGTAAAAGGTTGAAAATTGGGTTCAGAATCCAGGGATAAGGGAGAGACAAATCAGTCAGTCTTGGATGTTGCTGTACATTAGAAAGTGTGTGAAAACTGGATCTGAATCTGTTGTAAGATTTGCAGTTAGAGTGTACCTTCAACAATCGTTCATCTTTTTGATCAGGAAGGGAATGTTTCTATATGCATTTACTTTGTGGCTGGGGATTTTACAGAAGGTTTTGTCCTTCAAAACCGTGAGTCTTCAACCTGTCAAAGCTAAGCGTTGTGGGGCTTGGAGTTATGTCTCATATTGGTAAGATGTGAAGCAATTGACTCCAGAACTCCAAATGACAGCTTAATAATAATAATCCTTCCATTTGATATAGCGCCTTATCACGTCTTCAAGACACCTAAAAGCCCTTCATAAAATATACTGTAAAGTGAATTCACTGTATGTTTTCTGGGCGAAACACGGCAGCCAATTGGGTTAGGCTGACATTCCAGGAAACTGGGGAACGCTGCATTGTTAGTAGTGACATCTTAAAATAGAGGCAAGTTAAATAGATATTCTATGTGCACAGCTTCAGGTTCCTGATTACGATCCCGTGACACTATTTGAAAAGACCAGTAAGTTTCCCTCCTTGTCCCGGGCAACAATCTTCCAGATAAATTGGTCAGCCATCTCATGGCTTGTTTGTATAACCTTGCTATGTACTGCTGTGCTTGTTTACAAAACAAGTCTGTATACTTGACTGTAATTGCTGTAAACTAATTCAGTGTGTAAGGTGCTATAAAAATACAAATTATTTATTTTGCTTACAAACCTGGTAGAGACTTAGCAAATCATTCTGTTAGGAAGATCTTCCTTAAACTGAACAGATGTGACTTCACTGGTATTCTGCGCTAGTTCCAAATGAATGATTAACCTAGAAAATGGTCTTGCAAAAGCTGTTTGGATCATACTAACTCGTATATTTCATGAGAAAACATGCCCTTCATTTTCAAAGCCTGCTCGCATCATGTATTGCTAATACTGTCAGAAAGCAGATTGGAATAGGTATTTGGAGAGTAAATAATCCTGCTTCATAAGAAGGGATCTCTGCATGTGCATGCTGAAACTGCCTGCTGTTTTTCCTTCGTGGGTTTTGGGTCCTGCTATGA